AAATCTGTCAATGTTTATTCACCATATTAATGGAGTTAGAGATAAAAAGCATATGATCTAAGGGCACAAGGGAACTTTATGAATTTTAGAAAATGCTCCATATCTGAATTGTGGTGATGGTTACATAGTTGTCTACATTTGTCAAAACTCAAACTGTATGCATAAAATGAATGTATTTTATTATATGTAAATTATTCCACAATAAAGTTGGTTAACAACTATATGATCCCAGTTTGTGCAAAAGAAGTATTCGATAAAATTAGACACTTACTCATTTTAAAATATTATGACCACTAATATTGCTACTAGTCACCATTATACTGAAGATTCTAATCAATGTAATAAGACAAAAAAAGATGTATAAAGTTAGAAAAAAGATGTATAAAGTTAGAAAAAAGATAAAGCCCATCACTTGCAAATGATATGATTATCTACATTTTTAAAAATCTAACTGAAACTAGATAAACATTAGAACTAAAAAGAGTTCAGCAAATAAAAATCAATGGTGTTCTTAAACATCAGCAATATTCAATTATACTATGTAACTGCAAAATGCTACCATTTACAAGAGCTACAAAAAGGTATCTAGGCACAAATAAAAGATGCGCAAAACCTATAAAGAAATTTATAAAACGCTATATTTTTTCTTATAACTATCTTTATTACACATTTTTAAATACTTCTCTACATCATTACAGAATGCCTACCATATCCATTCCCTTAAACAACACTGTTCTCAAAGAAACAAGAGGGTACCACTCTTACAATCATCTTTATTACATGTGTTCATAAAACACTATTGAAGGACATTTTGGGGAAAAAAAGGATATATAATATGTTCACAAATAGGAGGATGTACACTGTTAAACACGGCACTTCCTTCTAAATTAATCTATAAATATCAAAGGATCTTTATGTCACTTGGGTAGAAGATTTCTTAAAGACACTGAAAGAACAAATTATAAAGTAAAAAAAACTAGTAAATCCAACTACATTAAGATTTATATATAAGATCATTATTAAAAGACAAGCCAAAAATTGAGATCAATTATTTACAGTGCTTATAGCCAAAGGATTAATATCCAAATGTGTGTGTGTACATGTATATGGATATATGCCTGTATGTACAACTCTTAGAAGTTCAAACAAACCAACAGAAAAATAGGCAAAGAATATAAATAGGCAACTCACAGAAGAAACTGTAGGGTTAGAAGAAACTGTAGGGTTAGGCTGAATAGTAAGAGTTCAAATGTAATAGCTGAATAGAAACAAACCTTATGACCTAGAAATTCTGCTTCCGGAAATCTACTCCAGAAAATCTGTGGCACATTTACACTATACAAGGAAACAGTTATAAGAATGTTCTTGTAATACTATTTATAACAGCAAAAAAAAAAAATAATCATCTAAGTATCTCTCAACAGAGAAATGGATAAGCAGTGGTGTATTCATATTTGGAATACTATGTATTAGCTCAACGAATAGAAAGCTTTGTGTATATACAATGTCAAGGGGGGAAAAGTTGCAGAATATGATCAGTATGATAGAATTTATAGAAAAATCTAAAAACAAATGCCATACATTATTTATGGTTACATATCTATAGAGTAAAAGCATAAATAACATGGACAATAAGGGATCCACTCAGCTTGAAGATAGTGATTACTTCTGAAGTAAGAGAGAATAGAATAGGATGGTGAAGGAGTACAGAGGTTTCAGGTGCATCTGTAGCTTTTAGTTCCTAAAAAGGTCTAAAACAAATTTGGCAAATATATGAATAGCCCTTAAATATGGGTGGTAGCAACAAAGATGTTTATTATGTTATACTCCATATTTTCCATATATTTGAAATATTTCAAAGAACTTCTAAAAAAATCAACTGTCCTACACACACACACACACACACACACACACACACACACACACCATGGAATGAGAAAAAACAAGAGTGAAACAGAAAGACCTTCTAGAAAGCATGTGTAGAAATCCTGGCTAAAGTGACAGTGATCCAGATTAGAAGTGATAATAGCAGGATGGAGAGAAATAGATGAATGGTGAGATTATATTTCAAAGGAATAATTTGTAGTTTATTGATGGACTGGATATGAGGAGTTCAGGGGAGGAAAGAATCAAGGTTGACTTCTAACTAAAGCAATAATGTAGATTAAGGTGCCATTTACTCAGATAGGGAAAACTCGGAAAAGAACCAGTTAAGGGCATGAACGAATTCTGTTTTATGTTTATCTTTTACACTCAAACATAAGCTCTTTAAAGGGAGACTCTGTCTACTTTATCTCTGTATCACTCAAAGTTCATAACATAACTGCCAAATCAATGTTATACACATTGGCTAAGTATTGCTTTTTTAAAAACCAGAAAACCTTTAAAAATGTCAACTTTCAAATAAATTACTTAATATTCAAATAGCGAGAAGAAAAAACTTTCAAGAAGTTCCCACAAAAATTTTCCCATGCAGCTTATTCGGACTTTTAGGTTCTATACAAATTTATGCTTTCTATTTTCCTAAGCCACTTGAATTAATTTTGTATGATTTTACCAGTTAGATGTATTATAAGTTATGTATAAAGTATGGCGTTGTAAATGAGATAGGATTTATAAGGTTATTTTTTTTTAATTTTATTTATTTGAAAGAGCATGGGGGGAAGCATGAGTGGGGGGAAGGGGCAGAGGGAGAGGGAGAAGAAGGCCCCCCCTGAGTAGGGAGCCAGACACAGGGCTCAATCCCAGGATCTTGAGATCATGAACTGAGCCGAAAGCAGATGCTGAACCGACTGAGCCACCGAGGCGCCCCTATGATAAGGTTATTATTACATATTATCTCTTTATAAACTAGTAATTATGTATTTTAGTTATAGATTATTGAACCCCTCATCTCTTGTGATTCATAATCCAACCTTGGTAAGCAGGAAGAACAATGTAATATTTACTGACAGAGCTGGCATTCACACCTAAAGCATCAGGCTCCAAATCCAGAATTCACCATAAAAAAACTGAAGTTTTGGGGCGCCTGGGTGGCTCAGATGGTTAAGCAGCCGAAGCATGACCTTCGGCTCAGGTCATGATCCCAGAGTCCTGGGATCGAGCCCCACATCGGGCTCCTGGCTCAGTAGGGAGCCTGCTTCTCCCTCTCCCTCTGCCTTCTCTCCCTGCTCATGCTCTCTCTCTCTCTCTGTATATCTGTGTCTCAAATAAATAAAATCTTTAAAAAAAAACAAAAACAAAACTGAAGTTTGAAGAAATCAAGGAATTGCCCCAAAATACACAGCTAATAAAATTGTGAGTTAACTTTGCTGTGCTTACAGAACTGATGCTATTCTAAGTTTATAAACATTATGAAAGTGTATAACAACAAAATCTCAAAATTTATCCAAAAGATAGATTCTTAATTATTCTTTTGCTTACTTTCGAAGTCAGAATAATATGATATAGAGGATTTTTCCACTATTACTACATAACTGGAATGGTAGGGGAAAAAAAAATCATATAGACCTTTTAAAGATCATTTAAGTAAATTTGTTTTCCCTCCTAAGATAAAAAGGTTACAAGTTTCTTTAGAGGATAATTATATCTAAAAAGTAATACTTGGGGGGATGCCTGGCTGGCTCAATTGTAGAGCATGTGACTCTTGATCTCCAGATCATGAGTTCGAGCCCCATGTTGGGTGTAGAATTTAAAAAAAAAAAAAAAGAAGAAGAAGAATAGTAATACTTGGGTAATTATGATACCACAAGTTTCAATTATTATCTTTATGTTGTTCAAAATCAAAACAAGTATACATCAACCACTGCATTTTGACAACTTTCCCTGTTTAGTGAGCCTAGGTCAACTTTTATTTGTCAAACAGAGTGAATGCTGTGATTTTAACAAATTTCTGAGTATCTATATACTTGTACAACCCCCTCTTGGTTTATCCCCATTGGCACTGGGAGATTTAAAAGGGGCAGGAGACATGTTAGAAAGCAGTACACAATTTTACAAAGATAAAGTACTCAAAACCGTAAGTATAAGAAGCCCATACAAATAAATCAAGGTTTTAACTATTTTTCTAATAGTTCAGAAATGGTACTTAAAGAAAGGGGGTGTGCATCTGGGTGGCTCAGTCAGTTGAGCATCTGACTCTTGATTTCAGCTCAGGTCATGATCTCGGGGTCATGGGATTGAGCCCTGCATCAGGCTCCGTGCTCAGCACAGAGTCTGCTTGTCCCTTTCCCTCTGCTCCTCCCCGGCTCACGTGCACGCGCACGCTCTAATAAATAAATACAATCTTAAAAAAAAAAAAGAAAGAAAAGAAGAAAGAAATGGTACTTTTGAGTGCCAAAGGAAAACACCAAAAGGTCTCTTAGGAAAATTGTTACAAATTTTTAAATGTGAGAATAGAATCATTTAAAAATATATATGATCCACATTTTTAGCAATGCAAATTTTGTTGCTGGATTTACTTAAGTTTTTATCAATCTTATTTCTCTGAGTTTTAAAGGATGCATCTAAATGGAAACAGAACTGAGTTCAAAGTATATCAAGTATGCATATCTCTTCTTAAGTTCAACATTATATTTTTATTGGATTTTATTTTGTAAACAATGAGAAACCAATGACAGTCATCACACTGGGGAGTGACACCATGAATGCTTTAACAGTATAACTTTGGCTGTAATACAAAGAATGGACAGTATAGTAGCAGTTAGAAATGGGAAGATACTATAATAGAAGTTAGAGATTGAGAAGATATAATAGTCCAGGTCAGGGGAGAGCTTTATAAAAGTCCAGATTCCTAGGACCTACTCCTGGAGATTGCTGAGTCAGTACACTTAGAGCAAGTTTTTATAATTCTAGAGAAGAGCTAAACACGGATGACTGGTAGTGAGTTAGAGCATCGAAGGGAAGATACCCTTCACACTGACACCTTTAAAAGAGTATCAGGAACTCATAAAAATTACAAGCTGATGCTTCACTTTTATCACAAATGAGCGCTGACTCACCTGGATCAGGGTCATATTTTAGGTCCAATGGATGTACAACAGGGTAGTACTGCTTCTAAACACAATATAAATTAAAACAGATTTAATCACTTAATCCTTCATATAAACATTTCCTTCACCTAATGTAAGCAAATATACTATTAGCTGGTAGAACCATTTTTTTAAAGAAAATAAAAGGGGGAGGCGCAGGGGTAGCTCAGTCAGTTAAGTGTCTGTCTATGGCTCAGGTCGCCTCAGGTCGTGATCTCAGGGTCCTCAGATGGAGCCCCTTGTTGAGCGTTGAGCTCCCTGCTCAGCAGGGAGTCTGCTTCTCCCTCTCCCTCTGCCCCTCAACACCACCCACCAGTAGTGTGCTCTCTCTCTCAAATAATCTTTTTTTTTAAAGATTTTATTTATTTATTTGAGAGAGAGAGCACAAGAGGGAAGAGGGTCAGAAGGAGAAGCAGACTCCCTGCTGAGCAGGGAGCCCGACGTGGGACTCGATCCCGGGACTCCAGGATCATGATCTGAGCCGAAGGCGGTCGCTTAACCAACTGAGCCACCCAGGAGCCCTCAAATAAATAAAATCTTTAAAAAAAGAACGAAAAAAGAAAAAAGGAAAAATTGAAAGAAAAAAGATCCTGAAATCTGTAGGAAAGGAGGGGAAAAGAGCAAACTAAGTCTGAATTATACCTTTTATAGCATTGCCACCTACTGCATACACTAAGAAATAGCACCATAAAAAAAGTTTAAAAAAAGCAAACAAGCAAATTAAAGCCACAGAGATTGAATTTTGTGTTTAAAGTACAAGGTAGTCTCCAAGTTATGAATAGACTGTTTTTTCAAAAGTTCATTTTAAGACAATGTTTGGAACTCAGAACTCATATTTCCACAGAAGCTGTTTTAAAAAGTGGCCGCTACCATGTCAGCACACTGAAGCCTATACATCCTGTGATAGGCTGGGACTATGAGAGCAGATCTCACTTCAGCGAGCACATACACTAAAACTGAAACGATACAGAGAAGGTTAGCATGGCCCCTGTGCAAGGTTGACATGGAGTAAGACCTATGATTCGGCAAAAAGAGTAAAATGTTCTTCCTTACTCCTGCCCAAAGCCAGCAGGAGCCAAAAATGTTTTCTAATAAGAGCTGCCTTTAGTATCCTCACCCCATCCATCCATTTTGCATCCATTTTAAACTTCCACAGCAGTACCCACCTAGGCCTGCCAACTTTCTTTCTTTTATGCAATACCGATTACCAATTAGACTTTTCCCAGGAAAGAAGGGGGTAGTAATAGGGAGAGAGAAAATAAATACATTTTGAATGTTTTTCCTGGGGAAACTTTAAAAAGCAAGGTTGGGAGGGGGGAGATAGAGTAGGGTATTTTTTTGAGAATGCTTTGGAAGAAAAAAAAATAAAAATTCTGCTTATATTTTTTTCTCATAGAACAATGTCTTCACTGTCCAAAACAATTCCTGACAGGGGCGCCTGGGTGGCTCAGTCATTAGGCGTCTGCCTTCGGTTCAGGTCATGATCCCAGTGTCCTGGGATCCAGCCCCGCATCAGGCTCCCTGCTGGGCGGGGAGCCTGCTTCTCCCTCTCCCACTCCCCCTGCTTGTGCTCCTTCTCTCACTTTGTCTCTGTCAAATAAATAAATAAAATCTTTAAAAAAAAAATTCCTGACAGAAAGCAACTGGAAGATTTAAATGTGAAAGTATGCTAATTTCAAAAATTAATGACAAACAGTATAACATAATTTAAAGCAACATGTGTTTCTAGCTCCAGAGGCAGTGCCATTCCAAGCAAACCTACTCCCACCCCATCATGACTTCTAGAGAAAAACAAATTATACACAATTCATAAAGCAAATTTGGTATCATGAACAGGTATTCAGCTGTCATCATCAATTTAAGCTAAAGGGGTCTTCCAAAATATATAAACATATACAAATAATGTGCCAAACACAAATGACACAAAAGAAAAGATCTAAAAGATAAATTTATTGAGGCTTGTGGGTGGCTCAGTTAAGCAACCGACTCTTGATTTTGGCTCAGATCATGATCTCAGAGGTCGTCAGATGGAGCCCCAAGTCAGGTTCCACGCTTAACAGGGAGTCTACTTGAAGATTCTCTCCCTCTGCACCCCCTCAAATAAATAAAATCTTAAAAAAAAAAAAAAAGATAAATTTATTTTTCCTTCTTGGTCTCAGAATTGTAAAGTTAGTCTTCCTTCCTCAAATTCTATTTTAAAATCAGCTGTGTTGGGCGCCTGGGTGGCTCAGTTGGTTAAGCGACTGCCTTCGGCTCAGGTCATGATCCTGGAGCTTTGGGATCGAGTCCCACATGGGGCTCCCGGCTCAGCGGGGAGCCTGATTCTCCCTCTGACCCTCTCCCTTCTCATGCTGTTTCTCTCTCTCTCTCTCTCTCTCTCTCTCAAATAAATAAATAAATAAAATCAGCTGTGTTTGGGGCACCTGGGTGGCTCAGTCGTTAAGCGTCTGCCTTCGGCTCAGGTCATGGTCCCAGAGTCCTGGGATCAAGCCCTGCATCAGGCTCCCTGCTCAGCGGGAAGCCTGCTTCTCCATCTCCCACTCCCCCTGCTTGTGTTCCCTCTCTCGCTGTGTCTCTCTGTCAAGTAAATAAATGAAAATCTTAAAAAAAAAAAAAAAAAAATCAGCTGTGTTCAAAATCTAGTATAACTTAGAACAGGAAAAAATCTTACAAGAGATCAACAGTAGTAATTGAGGAAGAAAAGACAAAGAAAACAAAATGTCATCTGTGTCCACATAGATATCATCTCATACTTTAATTTTTTTAATTGTAGTAAAATAGACATAACACAAAACTTATTATCTCAAAGATAAATCATCTTACCAGAATTTCTTGTTTTGCTTTTATGGTTTTGATGACACATTCAAGGATCTTTCTGGGATACTGCTTACGTTTTGTGGCTATATCTACTATGATTTCATCAAACTGATCTTCAAGTACTTTAATATCAGAATCTATTACAAGAGAAAAACAATATCAAAAATTTCTTAAAACACATTGCTTATATTCTATATAGAAATATAACAAGCTAAATTTAGAAAATACAAAATAATTAAGAAAAACAAATATGGCAAGTTAATGGATGCCCCCACTTTGGGATTAATTCATTTATTTACTCATTGAAAAATCAATTACTGAGCACCTATGGGAAGCCAGGCCAAAATCAGAAAAATACAAAGATGAATATAACATGATCCCTGCTAAGAGCCCGCAGTTCCCTGGAAGAAACATAACTGCAAAACAACTGATAAATGCAATTGAGGTATGAACAAAATGCTATTCGGACACAGAACGGAACCCTAACTCTGCCTAGGGAATTTAAGACTTTATTTTTTTTTTTTTAAAGATTTTATTTATTTATTTGACAGAGAGAGACAGAGCGAGAGAGGGAACACAAGTGAGGGAGAGGGAGAAGCAGGCTTCCCGCCGAGCAGGGAGCCCGATGTGGGGCTCGATCCCAGGACCCCAGGATCATGACCTGAGCCGAAGGCAGACGCTTAACGACTGAGCCACCCAGGCACCCCGGGAATTTAAGACTTTAAACAGAAAACAGCATGTGAGCTAATAAGCCTTGAAATATAAATGTAAATCCATTGGATTAAAAAAAGGTGGGACAAAAAATAACAGGGAGAAGCATTTTAGGCAGAGGAAACTGTATTTGCAAGATCATAGAGGTTTTGGGAAACTTTGTTCTAAAACTAAAAGTTCTACATGGCTGCAGGATAAAGTGTAAGGAAAGGACGATAAAATATAAAAGAACTAGACTGTAAAGGGCATTTAACGTCAGAGTTTCCAACATGATTTGACTTCATTACGTGCTGCACCAAAGCTGTGACAGTAGCAGAGTGGAAAAGCTAAATCTGAAATAGACACAACTGGAATAGTAGGAAAAAGTAAGGACACGGTGACTTTATAATTTATTTAACTAAAACTATTTATCTCTTGCTTTCCTGTTTTAAAATAGTGAATCTCAAACTTCAGCAGAATAATTACATGGGGAACTTGTCAGAAGTGCAGAAATTTTGATTCAACAGAAGCCTCTGGAATGGGGCCCCAAAATTAAGCACCGTAGATGAAATGAATGCAGGTGGTACATCAACCTTATTTTGAAAATCATCTTTAAGAATAAGTAGTGGGTGCCTGGGTGGCTCAGTTGGTTAAGTGACTGCCTTCGGCTCAGGTCATGATCCCGGAGTCCTAGGATCGAGTCCCACATCAGGCTCCCGGCTCAGCGGGGAGCCTGCTTCTCCCTCTGACCTTCTCCCCTCTCATGCTGTTTCTCTCTCTCTCTCTCAAATAAATAAATAAAATCTTAAAAAAAAAAAAAAAGAATAAGTAGTTAAAAATACTAAAGAATGGGGTGCCTAGGTGGCTTAGTTGATTAAGGGTCTGACTCTCAATTTCGGCTCAGGTCATGATCTCAGGGTCTTGGGATCCAGCCCGGAGTGGCTCCGTGCTCAGGGGGGAGTCTAATTGAGGATTCTCACCTTCTCCCTCTGCCCTACCATTGCTCACGTGCACACACGAACCCTCTCTCTCAAATAAATAAATCTTTAAAAAAAAAATACTAAAGAGCTAGGTCATTGGCTTAGCTGGTCTCACATCACACCTGTTCTGCTATGTCACAGTCTATGCTAGGAATATATTTTATTAAGTAGAAGCTTCATTAAGAAGTCTGAAACAGTGATATTTATTTTTGGAAACTTTCAAACATTGCTGACATATATCAGCATACACACACACACACACACACACACACACATTGGGTAAAGATTAATGAAGTACATCAGGTATCTCTCATTCACGTAACAAATATTAAGTCCAACTAAATTCTTTTGAGAGTATTATGAGAAAAACAGTCACTGCTTACTTTGAACACTCATTTAGATGAGCAGCCCTTCCTAAATTTTAATTTATCCATATAAAAAGTTCAATCATTAGCCTGAAATAATGTACTATTTTACAGTTTAAAAAGTCTCCCAGCTAAATCTTCTATGGAGCAGGAAAATGGTTTTTCAGCGCCACCTAATGATAAAGCTACAAAACTGAAATGTATAAACAATTTGAGCAGGGAAGATTTTGTCACCAATTTAACAAGTATTTACTGTGTCCCTACTATATGCCAAGCTAAGTGTTGAAAAACAAATATAGCCCCTGCTCTCAAGGAACTTACACCTTAATTCTTAAATGTACCTGGTCAAGCCTGAAATCAAGTCCTTTCAGGATAGTTATGGAAGAAGGGAGAAAGTTGTTTTCACTTATCTATTCATTCATTTTTTTTCCTTTTACTTGTTCACTCATTTTCACAATGATCCCAGTGAACAAAACAGACAAAAAAACCTCTGCCCTTGCAAAGCTTACTTATTGCTTCTATGTATTAGATCAGAGACAAACACTTTTAATCCTACCTGCTGAACCTTTTTCTCTCCTTTCCTACCATCTTAGGGCAAGTCTTCACCATCTTTTACTGTACTATTTCAATAACTTCCCTAAGATCAGCCTGCCTTGAATTTCACCCCTCTCTAATCCACCCCTACACAGCCAGCAGTTGGTGTTCTAAAACACAAAGCTTTTCATGTAAATTCTATTTTAAAAATCTCCACTGGTTCCCCACTGCCTACAGGATAAAGTACAAATTCCTTAAGCAAACCCTCAAGGTTCTTTGTGATCTGGCCCCAACTTATCTCTCTGGCCACACCTGCCATTTTAGTTTTCCCAATTCATTTTTGACATTTTCCAAACATACCACTCCATTGTGCCTTTGTACGTGCTGTTCTCTCTGCTTCAAATATCCTTCCTCCTTTTTATCTAGCATGCTGTCATTCATTAAATGCATTTAATTTAACAACAATCTACTCTGTTGGGTCTTATCCCCCTTCCTAAACAGTACAGTAATTCCTTGTCCATTTCCTTCCATTAACAATGAGTTCCTAAATAGTAAGACCATGTGTTTTCACCTACATCCTAGAATTTGGTATGGTGGTTGGCATTATCAAGTGCCCATGAAAGAAGGTAAAATTGTAGTATTCTCAACTATTTCCCCTCACGATTATAAGGAGGAAAAGGGAAAAAGAATAACCACACTCGGGCGCCTGGGTGGCTCAGCTGGTTAAGCGACTGCCTTCGGCTCAGGTCATGATCCTGGAGTCCCGGGATCGAGTCCCGCATCGGGCTCCCCGCTCAGCGGGGAGTCTGCTTCTCCCTCTGACCCTCTTCCCTCTCATGCTCTCTATCTCTCATTCTCTCTCTCTCAAATAAATAAATAAAATCTTTTTAAAAAAAAAGAATAACCACACTCTACCCAGGCTGCCAACCTATTAGAAAATATGTATCTTAATCTATAAATTGATGAATCATATTGCTAAAGGCAGCCTGGAGCAAACAATAAAACAACTCCAAAGTGACTTCGGAGAACAAGAGTCAAAAACACAGGAAAGCCTGTATAGTTTAAAAATACTTTAGGTGATTGTGATACACTCCCTCTCCCCTACTAATTGGCAATCACTCTGATAAAATTTGGGAAATCTAATGTTATTGCTTTTACCATCTCAATATATAAACCAGAAAGTAAATTTTGGTGACTTTGAAGAGATAACTATAATAATCCCAAGGATTAGACAGTGAAGTTTTCTGGGCAAAGTATTATCCTAATGTTGAGAAGAAAAATTATAACCACAGAGGGTGGATAGAATGAGCTTGGAATCAGCTCTAGGGTATAACTGGATAACAAGTAATATCAAGCAGTGATACCAAGTTATGCTGGTCAGACTCTGTAATATCACCATGGGGAAAGACAAGACACTCTGACCCTCTTGTCAGGGTAGCCCTTCTCCTAGACTTTGCTGGAGAATTCTGACTCTCTTCTCACACAGATCTTTCCTTTTCTACTAAATTTTTTCCTTCTTACACTGACCACTGACCATTTCCTTTCCATTAAAACTTTGATTTTTTTTTTAGATATGTCAACACCATTAGTTAGGGTACAATCAAGTCTGCTTTGAAGAAGTATTCTGGGGTGCCTTGGGGGCTCAATTGGTTAAGCACCTGCCTTCAGGTCAAGTCATGATTCCTGGGTCATGGGATCGAGCCCCTCATCAGGCTCCCTGCTCAGCAGGGAGTCTCCTTCTCCCTTTCCCTTTGCAGCTCCCCCTGCTTGTGCTCTCTCACGGTCACTCTCTCTGTCAAATAAATTAATTAATTAAATCTTAAAAAAAAAAAAAAAGGAAGTATTCTGTCTGTAAAGTATTCTATACCCTTGAGCTGATTCCAAGCTCATTCTATTCATCCTCTGTGGTTATAATTTTTCTTCTCAACATTAAGATAATACTTTGCCCAGAAAACTTCATTGTCTAATCCTTGGAATTATTATAGTTATCTCTTCAAAGTCACCAAAATTTACTTTCTGGTTTATATATTGAGATGGTAAAAGGAATAACATTAGATTTCCCAAATTTTATTTACCTCATCCTTTACATGGTTGGTACTCTTATAATTTAACTTCATACTTCTAAGGGTCCTTCGCTACTATAAGAATCATTTGTAAAATACACCTTGATTTATAAGGTAATACTCACAGAAATCCTCTGGGCCTGTTTCTTCATCTGTAGATAGTTGTACAGTATTTTCCAGTAAACTACTAACAAGGGTACTTTCAAAGGCTAATCAGGTGAAAATCTTGTTGAGAATGCCAGATAGCATATATGAAAAAATCAAGGTACCTATTGTGTACTTTGCCTCAGTAGTCTTCTAGATGTTTCCCTTTTCCCCCCAGTGAAGGAAAATTTTTAAAAGAAGGGACACTGAGGGGCGCCCGGGTGGCTGTCCTGGGACTGAGCCCTGCATGGGGCTCCCTGCTCAATGGGGAGCCTGCTTCTCCCTCTCCCTCTGCGCCCCCCACTCCACTGGTGCTATCTCTCACTCTGCTATCTCTCTCTCAAATAAATAAATAAATAAATAAATTTAAAAAAAAAAAAAAAGACTGAAAATGGGGATTAAAAATTAGCGTTCGTGGGCGCCTGGGTGGCTCAGTCGGTTAAGCGACTGCCTTCGGCTCAGGTCATGATCCTGGAGTCCCGGGATCGAGTCCCACATCGGGCTCCCTGCTCGGCGGGGAGTCTGCTTCTCCCTCTGACCCTCTTCCCTCTCGTGCTGTCTCTCATTCTCTCTCTCTCAAATAAATAAATAAAATCTTTAAAAAAAAAATTAGCATTCGAGATAAAATTAGCTACAAAAATAACTCAGAAATTAATGACAGAAGGAAAGTTAAATCACATACCCATAAAACTATCTGAAGCTTCCTGCCATGCTTGCCCATTAATGCTGACATTCTCTTGCACAGCTGATTCAAAAGTCTGAAATAAATTCACAATACTCAAGTCACTAAAAATAACTTTAAATATTGAACTAAAACATTTTGGCAAAATAAGAATTTCAGATTTGTAATACAGAATATCAAGAAAAATAGACTAGCTTTATTCTTTTCAATGAAGATTCCATTTCAATCATTGATTCTACCTACATTTTAGCTCTGATAATAACCATTACACTATGTCTAAGAAAATTTGATGCAAATTTATATACTCCTTAAATGAAGAAAAAATACAAGCTAACAAAGTTGAGCTCAGCTGAGTCTCAAGGGTACAAGTACTACATAATGCTGCTGAACAAGCATCAGTGTTAACAAGGAAAAAATGCTTAAAACAAAGTAAAATTAATTTCTACTTCATAAAGGACTATATTTTTTTAGAGATGTACACTGAGGTACATAGAAATCAAATGACATGAGATCTGAAGTTTGCTTTAAAATAGGAAGTGTAAAGGGACGCCTGGCTAGGTTAGTCAGTAGAGCACGTGACTCTTAATCTCAGGGTTATGAGTTCAAGCTCCACCTTAGGCATGGAACCTACCTAAAAAATAAATAAAATAGGAAGTGTAACAAATTTCTGTTAACTGTTAAATTTGGTGATGGATAGGGGCGCCTGGGTGGCTCAGTCGTTAAGCATCTGCCTTAGGCTCAGGTCATGTTCCCCGGGTCCTGGGATCGGGTCCTGGGATCAAGCCCTGCATCAGGCTCCCTGCTGGGTGGGGAGCCTGCTTCTCCCTCTCCCACTCCCCCTGCTTGGGTTCCCTCTCTAGCTGTGTCTGTCAAATAAATAAATAAAATCTTAAAAAAAAAAAAATTCTGGTGATGGATATACAGGTGTCCACTGTATTAGTCTGTTTTCTGTAAGATTAAAAATGTTTATACTACATTAAAAAATAAGGAACTAAAGGAATTTGGTAGTGCCATTAAAATTTTAAATGCACATTCCCTATTACCTAACAATCTCACTTCTAGCAATGTATCCTAAAAAACTATTCTCATAAAAACATAAAAAGGATGTACTAGTAATGTTTGTTAAAGCACTATCTGAAATTATAAAATACTGAGGGGAAAATAAAATCTAAATTCAAAATCAGAAAATGGTTAAATATACTATATCCATATCATGCAATACTAAAAAAGAATAAAGTATATCTCTACCTAACATTGACAAATAATAGTCGAAGACAGATTTGGTAGGAAAAAAAAAAAAGCTAAATTGCTAAATACATCATCCTAACACTATTAAGGTAAGAAACAAACAAAAATCTAAAACAACAGAGAGATGTAAAGCCATAAAAAAAGGTATAGAAGGATTACACCCTCCATGGGCCCTCCAAAATAGTAAGTTATTTCCAGGAAGGAAGAGGGATGGGGGAGAGGAATTCAGACTTTTGCTTTATGCTGTTTTTTACAATGAGAATGTATTTTACACACTTTGTGAGTAAAAATAAGCATAAATCAAATAGTGACTGATAATTATGAGTTAACGTACACACTCTACACTTTAAAGATTTTATAAAATAAAATCCTTACTTTATATATGGGCATTCAAGGATTATCTCAGAATACAAACTGTAATATTTATTGCACAATCATATCATTGCGATTTTTTTTAGAATACCCATTACAATATTATGTGGTTTTAGATAAAGAGATATGTCAACATAATTAAAGCCTCTGCCTTTTATCTGCTTTTAATATAAAACACAAGTGAATTCCTTTGTAGTTTAAGTCTTCAAACTTTTACCTTCTAATTCACTTTATCATCCATTAAATAAGGTCTAATAGGTTAAGGCAAGCTCCTCTTTTTCTGTAAAGTAAATGTTCTAAATAGGTTAGCACTTCTTAGAAAGGGGCAAATTCTAAGATCATTATGCAACAAACAGTCTTCTCCCAAAAACTACTAAAAATGTCCTGAGGTATGTCTCTATTCTTCCCTTCCTTGCAAGAAGGTAGTAACAGTATTACTGTATACAAAACTGGAACACAGACTCACAATCCAGGTGCTGTTTTTTTATTCTTCTTCCATTTGATGTTTATTTTTGTTTGCACTGTGGTCATTTGAACTCACAAGTGTGCCGCATTATGAACTTTTAAACTTATTTTCTACAGATAGATTGTATGCTTCTTTAAGGCAGGTACCAATCCCTCAATGTTGTGTCTTTCCTCAAAAAACTAGCTTCTTCAGGGCTTTGCAAAATATGTGAGAAAGGAAGGAGAAATGTTATGAGGGCCAGTGAAGTTATTAATCAAGACAGCTTATCTACTTTAGAGTTGGAGGGAAAATGTCTTCACGACTTTACATGAAGTTCTAAAACAGGCAAAAGGAAAAGACCAAAGACTTAGTGTGGTGACTGGCTGACTTCCAGGATTACCCCTTCCTGGAGAATTCCTCCTAGAGTCAGTCTGCACTGTCCACTTTGGGGTTACTGAGGCCTTAAAATGTGGCTAGCCCTAAAGGAGATGAACTCTAAATTTACGCCACCAGATTTGAAAAGCTTAGTAGGAACAAAAGAATAGAAAAGATCTCCTTCGTTTCCTTTCTATTATTACAAGATAAAACGGTATCTTGGATAGAGCAGGTTAAATAAAACATAATATTAAAATTAATTTCACCTATTTTTTCTTCCTTTAATTTCAAGTTACATAAATAGCTCGCCTTGTATTTTTCTACTGGAAGGCGCTGGTCTAAGCGATTAACACCCAGCTGACACTAGCATCGATTTCGACCCCTCGCGTTTCTCCGGCTTCTTCTACCGGAGCGGGCAGCACCGTTAACTTTGCGAAGCCTGTCGAAGGCTCTTTCTGAGCCTCGAGAAGGGTACAGGGTAAGGGGGTGATAAGAGATAGCTACCGGGCCCGTACCCACTGCACATCTCGCAGCGCAGGCTTCCGAATCTCCTCTGGCAGCGCGTCCCCGAGCTTTTCCACAAAGCGGCCGCACAGTTCTAGCATTTCCGTCAACGCCCGCTTCGAGGTGCAGCGCACCCGGAAGTCCTCTCGGGAGGTGGCGGCGACCGAGGCCCCGTCGTCCGCCCCGGGCACTCTCTCCGCGTCCCGCGGAGGGGAAGGGACCACCAACACAGGAGCCCCCGCCATTTTCCCCGTTTGAACTGCGGGCGGGAACGCTGGGAGCGGAAGGGCGGTCTCTCACTGGGGGAAGAGGCACGCGTCCGGCCGGAAACTCAACCCGTGCAGCGGCAGCGTTCCGGCTGAGGCTCGGCGGGAGAGTGGAGGGCAGTGGTTGCTGTGGCGATGGGGGCGGTGGACGTAGGGTTGGTGGACTGTCACTGCCACCTCTCGGCCCCGGACTTTGACAGCGTATGTATGGGCGAGGCCCGGCCCGTGGGAGCGGGGAGGCCCCCAGTCCTTTCCCTTCAGGTTATTTTTGCTCTCCTCCCTTAGGACCAAGCCTCAAATCCTCCCAGGCTCCTGTTTGTGGCCCTGAGTGACTTGCCCCTGGCTCTATTTAACTTCAGTCGTTCTGATTTTTCTTTCTGACCCTGAATAGCGTTAAGCTCTTTATCTACGTGGCTTTTATTTGTCCTTCCCGTTTACGAGAGGGCTTCCCCCTTACTTTCCCTTGGCCTGGCTGTTTACCCCACCGGCCTCGGCCTCGCGGCTCCTGGCCTGGCCGAGCATCCACTTTGCTCAGGAAAAGTGTGCTTTCGGCACTTTCCGGCGCGCGGTGTGCCCCTGTTCTATTGGGGGAGAGAAGCAAACAGAAAACAGAACACACACAAAATCCGAGTTACAAAGTGTTTTACCCGCTACATTGGAAACCAGAGGCTGATAAATGAGAAAGAAGAACAGAGTCTCTTAAGGGGGGAAACCTCTCAAGAGGTGACACTTCAGTTGGAACTGGAAAGGCAAAGAGCCAGCCAAGCAAGGAGGTGGGTGTACGGTGGTGTAGAAAGCAAGCAGGTCGCAGGCTCCAGACTGGATAGAATTTGACGCGTTCAAGCTACAAAAAGGCTAGGCGGAGGGTGATGAGCTAGAGAGAGCCATTGGAATAAGACTAGAGGGTTGCAGGGGCTAGGTGAGGTAGGTCAGTAAGGACAATGTGGATCCAGTAAAGGTGTTTGGTTTTTTTGGTTTTTTATGGGAGAGTGACAAGATCTGATTTCCATTTTTAAAAACCGTTTTGCTGATGGAAAGCAAGTGTGGAAGTTAGAAAACCAGTTTGAAGGCTTTTGCTGTATGTAGACAGCAGATAATGATGGTTGCAGGGGAGTTTGAGAAAAGCAGGTGGATTCAGTGTGTGTTTTAGAGCCAGAATCCATGGTACATGCTGAGGAACTGGATGTGGAGAGGGAGAGAAGGAGAGGACATGAGGATGCTGTAGGGAGGATGGTGGTGCTGTTTACTGAGAGGAGGGAAGACTGAGGGCAGATAGAAGGAATCAGTTTGTAGAGGAGAGCTATGTTTGGCACATGTTGAAGCCTAATATCCATCCAAGTGGAAATGTCATATAGTCAATTTTAAATATCAGTCTTGGGCTCAGGAGAGAATTCTAGGCTGGAGCTCAAAACTGGGGACTTGTTAGCATAATGATGATATCAAAACCTATGGATGCCATCACCTGGGGTGTGGCAGAGAGAGGAGCATAGGGTCCTGAAATCCAACAGAGGAGAGAGCCAGCTAAGGAGACTGAAAGTAGCAGCTAGCGGAGGGTGGTGTTTGCAGGAGAGCGGTATTGCAGAAGCCAAGAGTGGGAAATATTTCAGGAAGGAAGAAATGGACAAGTGAGGAGTTCTTAATGCAGCTGAGGGGTAGAATAAGAGGAGGACAGAGAAGTGTCCTTTATATTTGACAATAACAGTTTCTGTTTTAGTGGAGTAGGAACAGAAGCCAGATTTTACTGAGAGAAAGGAAGAGTAAACAGAAGGTGGGGGAGTGTAGCTCTTCACATTCTATCACACTGTTCCTTGCCATTGTTGTCTCAACTACACTGATATACACAGCCAAAGAGCAGTTAGTTTATTCATCTAAAATAATTGTGATGACTTATGCTTATTTTAGGATCTGGATGATGTGTTGGAGAAAGCCAAGAAAGTAAGTCAATATCTATAATTGCCCTTTGTTTTCCTATTAATTTCAATCTAGAACAGCTTGAAATTTAGATTTACTATGCCTATGTTGCTTTGTTAATAAATAGCATTAATTAACTGTTTACTATATGCCAGGCACTGAGTTTAGCCCTTTCTGTACATTATCTCATTTAGTGTTTCACAACATCCTTATGAAGAAGCTACTATTTTAGAGCCAAACATTACCCATTTGATAGAAGAGGAAACTCAGAGATTAATTTATCCAAAGATACACTGCTAGTAAAGTGATACAGACAAGATAGTCTGAATCCAAAACATGTTCCCACTGCTACCGTGCTTACCAGTTATATGGAACAGATTGGTCCATCTCTCAGTTCTAAAATTAACATTATTCCGGAGATCTTGAAGAAATTATAAAAGTTTTCTGAGACATTTTGATTTATTTCAGGAAAAAATTACTAATTTTTGGAAGTTTTTATGAAATTCATTGTAACTACCTCTTTGTAGCTTTCCCTTAAAGTGATAGAAACGGTTGCCAATACATTTTTATGTACACAGCCATCATTCAATATGGCAGGTTAATTAGGAGCATGGGCTCTGGAGTTACACAGGCATAATGATCTTGAGCAAGTTATTTGACTCCACCCAGAACTCCTTATCAGTATGATGGATTACAGCAATGCCTACCTCATAGGGCTGTGTAGATTAAATGAGGTAATATTTATATTCACTGAACATAGTACCTAAAACATAGTAAGTACTCAGTGATTGCCATCATGATTATATTGATGGAGTATGAGTGAGCAAGAATAACTGAAAGTACAGAAGATTATAAATTTCTCTTCAGTTATGTTAGATGTGTATTGTTTGAGATTCTAACTGTTCTATTCATTTTTGTTTCAGGCCAATGTTATGGCTCTTGTGGTGGTTGCTGAACATTCAGGAGAATTTGAAAAGATTATGCAGCTTTCAGAAAGGTGCTACTTTTCATTAAGAATTTAAAGAGTTGCTGGGGCGCTTGGGTGGCTCAGTGGGTTGAGCGTCTGCCTTCAGCTCAGGTCCTGATTTCAGGGTCCTGGGATCGAGCCCTGTGTTAGGCTCCCTGCTAGATGGAGAGTCTACTTCTCCCTCTCCCTCTGCCCCTCCCCCCTGCTTGTGCTCTCTCCCTCAAACAGATAAATACAATCTTAAAAAAAGTAAGAATTTAAAGAGTTGCTAATAAGGTTGCCGTTATGATGTCATATTTGTACTATCAAAGGTCATCCAATTTTAAAGAGAATGAGAAGAAGAAAATCCATCAACATAGCTCTAAAAAATTCTTTCATACTTGTTCTTTAGCGTAACATTGTCTACTAGTTTAATATTCCTGCTTTCTTAATTTGTTCTACATTTTTAGGTATAAGGGGTTTGTCCTGCCATGCTTGGGTGTTCACCCTATTCAAGGAGTTTCACCAGGAGATCAAAGAAGTGTCACATTAAAGGTAAAAGTCATATAAAACAAGAACCATAAAAAATGATACCTTTGATTCAGTAATGCTCCTCTTTCTGATTTATATTCTAAGGCAATAATCCAGAAGAAGGAAATGCTACCTTTCACAAAGGTGTTTGTTGCAGCATTATTTGTAGTAGAGAAAAGAAACAGAAACAACCTAGAGGCTCAGAAATCAAGGAAAAATTAACTTGTAGAGTGTTAAATATATGTATGTATGTATGGAATGCGTACATGGAAGATGAGAACGATAAGGTTTATTTTATGTAGCAATGAGGAAAATGTTTACAAGATAATATAGGTATAAAAGCAGGATGCCAAATGGTTTATTCCCCAGTTGTGACATTCATGTAAAAATATATCCTATAAAGAAAAGACTAGAGGGAAAAACACAGAAATGACATCAGCTGTGATGATCGGGTAGTCTTCACATTTTTTTACCATGTTGTCATATTGTTTGGCCAAAAAGTGATAAAATATCCAGAAAAAGAAAGATACAAATTCATAGATATAGTAGCGTGAGGGAACACAGTATCATCTTGAACGTTAAACTGTCTCTAATGGTATGCTCTTGACCTATGAAACTGTACTGCTTTTATACCAACCGGCTCTAAAACAAATCCTACCCACAAGATCTCATTGACTGACAATAGCCAATATGTCTCATATTTCAAACTCATCTCCTGACTCGGCATCAGGGAGATCCAGTTTCTTAAGTGCTTTATTACATAAATGTGAGTGATAGCACCCCCCCATTTTGAAGAAGTAAAGACTTTTTGTTACCTATAAATAAATTAAGATAACAAGGTCTCTCATTTTTTATAGTAATGAATCTGTATTCCTACATTAGGAAGCCCCAGATAGCTCTATTTATTTTGAAACAAAATTGTTTTTAATTCACTTCAGGTAAAAATAAATACTTGTCCTGTAGTTCTCCTGAGTTGTTCTCCTGGGATGATAAAATTAGTTAAATTGCCAGAGAGATACAGTTCCCAAAATATTGGGGATCATAGCAGGACAGCATTTCTTTCATTTATATAGAGATTTATATGACTAGGCATTCGTTTAGTCAGTCAGTCAGCAAGTGTTTACTGAGCACCTACTGCATTCCAAGCACTGCTGTAAGCACTGTAGAGTGAAATCCCTCTCATGGAAGCTAGATTCTAGTCGGGGGCAGACAGACAATCAACAATTAGATACATGGACAGGAAAACTGTAGGTAGCACTCAGTGCTTTAAGACAATCAAACAAGATTATGTGATAGGGATTGTGGATGCTGGTTTTTGGATTGTAGTCAAGGAAGGCCTCTCTGAGGTGGTGATATGAGAACTGCAACCTGAATGCTGCCAAGGAGTTGGCCCTGCAGCGAGAGGGCTCAGAGTGGTGTAGGCAAACGAAACAACCCAGCATGAAGGTCCTAAGGTAGGAATGAGCTTGATGTGGTCAAGAAACAGAAAGAGAGCTGCTGTGGCCGAGGGAGGGGGAAGTAACGGTGGCAGGGTCAGAGGGACTGGGCAGGGGGCACCGTGTCCGGGGCCTTGCTGGAGTTCAGTTGGCATCGGTGGGGGGTTCAAAGTGAGGAGGGACGAGTGGGATTTATGTTTTGAAGAGATCCCCTTGGGTATGGTGTGAAGAACAAATTTTGAAGAGTGCAAAAAAAGGAAGACAGGAAGAGGGAGAAGACCATCGTAGTAGTCCCTGGGAGAGAGGATGGCAGACTGGACCAGCGTGCCAGCAGCAGAGGCGAGAGGGAAGTGGCTGGATTTGACATATTTCGGCATAAATGTAGAACTGATAGAACTGTTTAACTTATAAAACTAATGAGAATAGCAACATTAGATAGGTAATTCCAGATTCTCAAAGTAGATATGAACTCATAAAATCTCAGGATAGCCCTCTGGAAAACACCAGAGATAAGCAGTTATTCCTCTTTTATTCTTAGTGGGCTTGTAGTCTGTACCCTAGTTTAGTTTTCTCATAACGATTAGATTATAAACCCCTAATATAAGCCCCTGATACTTAGTATGTACTAAGTATTTAGTAAATTCACTTGCTTCATAAAATTAAAGTTCCTGGGGCACCTCGGCGGCTCAGTCAGTTGAACATTGGGACTCTTGATTTCGCTTCAGGTTGCGATCCCAGGATCATGACATCAAACCCCACGTTGGGCTCCACCCTGGGTGTGGAGCCTGCTTGGGATTCTGTCTCTCCCTTTGCCCTTCCTCACTCTCTCTAATAAAATAAATAAAATTAAAATTGCCTAGCTCACACAAATCTTTCAGCATATTCCTGAACTTAATCATTCAATAAATATTACTACCAGGCAGGGCTTGGGACCCAGAGATATTTCAGGGAACCACAATTCACTGTGTGTGGTCTACTGCCCCCTGCAGGCAGGGCATGTGCTCTGCAGTTGGCTCCCCTCCGTGCTTGGCCTGCTTCACACATTTGTGTTACACACCTGACCCTGTTTTCAAGATTGTGAAGACTAAACATTTTGTTCAATAAAAAAACTATTGTAATTATTTAAAATCATTCAGAATCAATCTGCTTTCCTTTCCTTTTGCCCTCTGTCCCCCTTTCTCCTCCTTCTTTCTTTCCTCTCTTGTCTTTCAGCAGCATAATAGTCACAGCACAGGCTTTGAAGTCACAGAGACCTGGCCTACTGGCTTCTTTGATCTGTGGCACTTCACTTTGCTAAGTCTTAATTTCCTCATTTGTAAACTGTGAATAATTATACAATGGTAGTAGTCCCAGTCATAGGTGCAGAGGTATAGGATCTTTAAAAACCCCATAATAGAACCATTGGCTATTAAAGAACTTGAGACGTCATTCAAGAAGTGGGAATAGAAATGAAGTCAGAAATAGACCTATGAATGTCTTTATAAAACTGTTTACATCTACTGAAATAAAACGATAGGGACCACACACATGAATACACACATATAAAATTAGTAATATGAATTATATTAATTTCTACTTACTCTCCTTGACTTGCCAGAAACTTCCAGGTTATTTCATGAGAAGTTGAAACAGTCTCATTGTAAATTTGTTTTGCTTTTTTCACAGATAATAGATATTCCAAGAAGCACATTTTTCCCTCTATCTGGTCTTGATCCAAATGTACACTTCCTTTCTAAGACTTTCCAAGTGTCAACCATTTCCTGGGTAATCTCTACCTTCTCCAGCCCCTCTGAACTTCAGAGACAGAGCAGTTTGGATGTTTGATATGGAAAAAGCTTTGGCTGACAATGTTTAACCTCAACTATTGTCAGACACCATCTCTGATCTGTAATGTTTTATACTCTTAGCTCCTCACAACACTGTTAATTCCTCTTTATCGAGTCTACTAGAATGTATTTCTAAGGCCATGATCTACTCTGCCCCTCATGTTATCTGTCTCCAGAGGCATAATTGTAAAATCTCCTCCTTCTCCTCTACCATCGGTTCCACCTCTCTTTTCTTAATTCTCCTTTGTTCTAATTATCCTCAGTAGAAGTTCTTTGCAATTTACATATCCTGAGACTAAAGCCCTCAAAGTAGTTTAAAAGATATCTAGGAGCAAATTTTCCATATATATGTCTTTCCCTTGTCTTACAAGGGAACCCTCACAGAGTAAATTCTCTTTAAATGAAAATAGTAATACCATGGAGACTAACAGTACTTAATTACTTCAATAATTGACAAACAAGCATATGTGTGATAATTAGTGTTTATGCTGTTGAACCTTTAGGACAAAAATAGGCTAAGCAGGATTATAAAGACAAAAGAAATCAGTGAAAACAGTGCAGAGGATGTATGGGATTGTTGCTATTAAAAAACTCAAAAACCATTAACATCCTAAGAGGAGGACATAGCACAGTGCACTCCCCAAAAACTCAATTACAAAGGTGACTGCCAAAGATGGCTCTTGATCAGCTATTCCAGGAGGAAATCCAAATCAGTCCTAAATGTCAGGAAATTCCTCCTAAATATTAGAAAGTGTTTAAGTGAGACTGTTCATTGAAAGTCATGTTCTTGTAACCTGACTAGGTGTGGGATGTTTCTACTCAAATTTCCAAATAGTAGTACTCACCATTATAGAAGGATGACTGTCACTACTTCTTCACCTGGTTAAAGGTATTGAATGTATGTAAAGGACCCAGTATAGTATAGTGCCTGGTATATAAAAGATGTTTTCCAAAGTATCAGTTCCCTCACACTTCTATTTAAACAAATTTACCTTTTTTTTTCTCCTAGGATTTGGATGTAGCTTTGCCCATTATGGAGAATTATAAAGATCAGTTGTTGGCAGTTGGAGAGGTAACACCAAATAGCTGATCAAATGACTGCTAATCCAGACTTTCATATGATATATGAATATAATCTTTAGTTCACTATTGGTGATTATAACTGAGTTAGATAATTATATTCACTTCATTTAGCTGGATAATAATTTGTCAGTACTTCCTCAATAAGCAAAAGAGCCTAAGGTAAGACAGTAGAAAGCCCCACTATAGACTTATGTTAATGAAAGAAAACTACTTTATTAGCATTACAAAAAAAAGAACTTTGTTCTTTTTTTTCCTTTTCTTAAATAGGGTCATCATCTCTATAGTTAGTTAACACAGTATATACAAACATACTTTAAATAGACTAGAGTTTGTTGGGGTGCCTGGCTGGCTTAGTTGGTGGAGCATGTAACTCTTGATCTCAGGGTCGTGAGTTCCAGCCCCACATTGGACGTAGAACTTACTTAATAAATAAATAAAATATTTTTTTTTAAATTTAAAAATAGGCTAGAGTTTGTAATTAAAGAACATTTTTTATTAAATAATTTATAGTTGTGAAGCATTTTTATCACTTGGTAATAAACTCCACTTCTAATCAAAGATAAAAGATAAGAGTAACACTGGGCGCCTGGGTGGCTCAGATGGTTAAGCATCTGCCTTCGGCTCAGGTCATGATCCCAGAGTCCTGGGATCGAGTCCCGCATCAGGCTCCCTGCTCCTTGGGAGCCTACTTCTCCCTCTGCTTCTCTCTCTCTCTCTCTCTCCCTCTGTCTCTCATGAATAAATAAATAAAATCTTAAAAAAAAAAAGATAAGAATAACACTTAAATTTAGAATATAGACTTTAGCAATGTATGCCAAAAGAGTATCAAGGGAAACAGTCATTTATAATCTTCACTGTCCAATGTAGTAACCACATACAGCACTTGAAATGTGACTGGTCCAAATTGAGGTATGCTATAAATATAAAACACACAGGATTTCAAAGTCTTAGTACCCAAAAAAAAGAATGTAAAATAATGCAATGACTTTTTATATTGATTTTGTATTGAAATAATAATATTACTATATAATAATAATGATGTTTTGGACATATGGATTAAATAAAGTATATCATTAAAATTAATTTCACCTGATTCTTGTTAGTGTTTTTGTTTTTTTAAAGATTTTATTTATGTATTTATTTGACAGAGACACAGCGAGAGAGGGAACACAAGCAAGGGGAGTGAGGGAGGGAGAAGCAGGCCTCCCTGAGATCATGACCATAGCAGAAGGCAGATGCTTAACAACTGAGCCACCCAGGCGCCCCTCTTGTTAGTGCCTTTAATGTGGCTACTAGAAAATGTAAAGTTATATATGTGGCTTGCATGTATGGCTCCCATGATATTTCTCTTGGACAGCACTGCTCCACAGTATGTCTTTTGAATTCATTAAATGGTAAACATAGAAGTCTGGTTTATCTTTCTATTACAGGTGGGACTAGATTTCTCCCCCAGATTTGCTGGCACTGATGAGCAGAAGGAAGAGCAACGACAAGTCCTGATCCGACAGGTCCAGTTAGCCAAAAGATTAAATTTGCCTTTGTAGGTTAATTAATCATCTTTCTATATTAATAGCTATAGAGAAAATTAAATAATGATTCTCCTGAGGTAGAGCTCTGTATTTCTTTTTCTCTGAATTACTTAAATAGAACAAAAATAATACTTTCAGATTAAGGACCTAAAAGGAATTTTTTGTTGTTAAACAGAAATGTTCACTCACGCTCTGCTGGAAGACCCACCATCAGCCTCTTGAATGAGCAAGGTATTTAGGTTCCTGAGAGAAGTGTGCCTAATATTTACGTTGGACAGTTCTAGTCCACATTCTCATAGAATAAGCCGTGTTTTAATTTGATTTCTTAAAGGGAAGGGAATGGGGCAAGAGTGGAGGTGGAAATGAACTAAGGTGATTTTGCAAGTCAGCCTACTTTCAAGAGTGATTATGACATTTAGAAAGCCAGCACAGAGCAAATGCAAAATTGGATCAAGTAATTTATATTCCTTAATTTAAAAATTAACAGCTCTAATTTTTTAATCAGCTTAAGTAGCTGATTAATGAGAGAGGAAAAAACAAAGCAAAGATGGGTTACTGTCGTGCATGTTTTCTGGCTGCTGCCTCAGAAAATGGTATTATACAGGTCGTGGCCATCATACCTGAAATGCACCGTCATCTTCACCAGTTACTCCTAAAGTAAAAATATATCTTATAGCATTACTTTTCAGACTTTTTAAAGTACCATCCACAGTAAGAAATACACTTGAGTACTTTTTTTGGTACTAAGATTTTATTTTGAGACTCAGTATATACATATACAGAAAACTGGCCAGAGTTTAAGGAGCAGTACATCTATATGTATGTGCAGATAGGCATATACAAATATGTACATATACATATATGCGTCACACATATACACATAAGCATATGCTGGTCAGTCGAGACCCACTAAATTGATTCCATAATTCATTTATGATTGTAACCCACTAATGATCATGTCTACTGTTTGAAAAAAACAGTATCAAATAGTAAAGTAAATGTAATTGCCTGCAACTAGAAAGCATTGTATTTCTCAGTGATGAGAATCACTGGAATTACTCACACTGAGCCTGATTTTTATGCAGGCTGAGCAGCCATCCTTTAAGAACTTGAAGTGATTTGGTGAAGCCAGTCCTAAGTATTGAGACTGAGTCATTGAGCTCCCTGTTTCTTCTTTCACTAGCATTCTTGTTAAGGATAATTTCACTGCTTAAAAATCTAGTAGGAATAGTAATTTGACAGTTTACAAACTTTCAAAAAGTTTGTATAGTATAAGTTTGATGGTATAAGAAGTTTAAATATTTATTTAAAAATTTATACTTTTTTTAATGTAGGCTCCACACCCTGTGTGGAGCCCAACGTGGGGCTTGAACTCACGACCCTGAGATCAAGACCTGAGCTGAAATCAAGAGCTGGATGCTAACTGACTGAGCCACCCGGGGGCCCTTAAAAATTGTATTTTGATTTTATTCTGAAGATTAAGAATGTCCTCTTTTTTATTTTACTTTTTGAACACTGTACATTTACCCTTTAGAAATCATATAGGGGCACCTGGTTGGAAGAGCATGCAACTCTTTTTTTTTTTTTATTTTTTTAATTTATTTATTAGAGAGAGAATGAGAGACAGAGAGCACGAGAGGGAAGAGGGTCAGAGGGAGAAGCAGACTCCCTGCTGAGCAGGGAGCCCGATGTGGGACTCGATCCCGGGACTCCAGGATCATGACCTGAGCCGAAGGCAGTCGCTTAACCAACTGAGCCACCCAGGCGCCCCAGAGCATGCAACTCTTGATCTCAGGTTTTGAGTTCAAGCTCCATATGGGGTGTAGAGATTACTTAAATAAATAAAACTTAAGAAAAAAAAGAGAAGTCATAGAACCTCATCTTTATATTATAGTGACCGAAGTTTACTTAAAATTTATAATCTGTGTTGCCCACTTTGATTAGTGGGAAAACTTCTTGTTAAGGAAATGAAAGGAAACTCTAAATTATCTTTAATCTTTAACAGGTGCTGACAAAGTGCTCCTGCATGCATTTGATGGTCGGCCATCTGTAGCGATGGAAGGAGTAAGAGCTGGGTACTTCTTCTCAATTCCTCCTTCTATCATAAGAAGTGGACAGGTAAGTTCCTTAACTAAGCCTCATTTTATGCTTTGTAAAATACCCTTTAAATCATGAGCTTTTATTACACACTTGTAATACTATTCTAGCTACATTACAAAAAGTAATCGTCAATCCCTACCTCACATGTATATGAAAAGTACCTCAAAAATGAATCAAAGAGCTAACCCAAGAGCTAAAATTTATAAAACTATCAGAAGAAAACAAATCAAAATCTTTGTAACTTTGGAATAAGCAGTGGTTTCTTACATATGACACCAAAAGCACAAGCAACCAAAGAAAAAAATAGATAAATTAGACATCATCAAAATTTAAAACTTCCACAGTGAAACAGTTTTTGAACTTTTATGCTTCAAAAGACATATTGATAAAGTGAAAAGATAACCCACAGAAGGAGGAAAGGTGTTTGCAAACTATATCTGGTAAGGGTCTAGTAATCAGAGTACATAAAACACCATTACAACTCACCAACTAGAAAGACAAATAATCTGGGGCGCCTGGGTAGCTCAGTCAGTTAAGTGTCCAACTCTTGGTTTGAGCTCAGGTTGTGATCTCTGGGTTGTGGGATTGAGCCCTGCATCAGGCTCCACACTTGGCGGGGAGTCTGCTTGAGATTCCTTCCCTCCTCCTTCCTCTGCTCCTCCCCGCTCACACTCACTTTCTCTCTCTCTCTCTTGCTTTCAAATAAATAAATCTTAAAAAAAAGACATGTTGGATTTTGTCATGTTTTTTTCTTTTAAAGAAACTGTTTATTTCTATCAACCTTATTTCCATTTTCTGTTTGTCAAATGTTTGTTCTACCTCTATTGGGATGATCATACTGGTCTTTTCTTGGCCTGTAAATTGTATTGATTGATTTTCTGTTGTTGAACCAACCTTGTATTCCTTGGATAAATTCTACTTGGTCATGAGCCAGGCATACCTCAGTGATGTTGCAGGTTCAGTTCCAGACTGCTGCAATAAAGCAAATATCACAGTAAAGCAAGTCAAGTGAATTTTTTGGTTTCCCAGTGCATATAAAAGTTATGTGTACACTATACTGTAGTCTATTAAGTGTGCAATAGCACTGTGTCCAAAAAAACAATGTACATACCTTAATTTAAAAGTATTTTATTGTGGGGCAGCCGGGTGGCTCAGTCAGTTAAGTGTCCAGCTCTTGGTTTTAACTCAGGTCATGGTCTTGCAGTCATGGGATCCAGCCCTGTGTCCAGCTCCTCGTTCAGTGCAGAGTCTGCTTCAGATTCTACCGCTCTACCCCTCCCAGCTGGTGTGCGCTTGCTCTCTCTCAAATAAATAAGTAAAATTTTAAAAATAAAAGTGTTTTATTGTTAAAAAATGCTAACCATCATCTGAGCTTTCAGGGGGTCATAATCTCCTTGCTGGTGAAGGGTCTTGTCTCAATGTCAGTGGCTCCTGACTGATCAGGGTGATGGTTGCTAAAGGTTGGGGTGGCTGTGGCAATTTCTTAAAATATGACAACAGTGAAGTTTGCTGCATCCATTGACTCTTCCCTTCAAGAATGATTTTTCTGTAGCACATGATGCTATTTGATAGCGTTTTGCCCACAGAACTTCTTTCAAAATTGGAGTCAATCCTCTTAAACCCTACCACTGCTTTATCAACTAAATATATGTAATATTCTAAATCTTTTATTGTTATTTCAACAATCTTCACAGCATCTTCACCAGGAGTAGATTCCATCCCAAGAAACTACTTTCTCTGCTCACCCATAAGAAACAACTCCTCATTCATTCAAGTTTTATCGTGAAATTGCAACAATTCATTCACATCTTCATGCTCCCCTTCTGATTCCAGTTCTCTTACTATTTCTATCACGTCTGTAGTTACTTTCTCCACTGAAGTCTTGAACCCCTCAAAGTCATTTATGAGGGTTGGAATCAATTTCTTCCAAACTTCTGTTAATGTTGATATTTGGACCTCTTACTATGACTTACAAATGTTTTTAATGACACGTAGAATGGTGAATCCTTCCCAGAAGGTTTTCAGTTTACTTTGCCCAGATCCATCCGAGGAATCACTATGTGATACTAACTATAACCTCATGAAATGTATTTCTTAAATAGTAACACTTGAAAGTCAGAGTTATTACTTGGTCCACAGACTGCAGAATGGATGTTGTGTTAGCAGGCATGAAAACATTACTCTCCTTGTACATCTCCAGCAGAGCCCTTGGGTGCCCAGGTGCATTGTCAATGAGCAGTAATATTTTGGAAGGAATCTTTTTTGTCTCAACAGTGGACTTAATTTGTATTAAATCATGTTGTAAGCAGATATGCCTGCATCCAAGCTTTGTTGTTCCATTTATAAAGCACAAGCAGAATAAATTTAGCACTATTTCTAAGGGCCCTAGGATTTTTGGAATGGTAAGTAAACATTGACTTCAACTTAAAGTCAACCAACTGCATTAGTACCTAATGAGAGTTAGCCTGTCCTTTGAAGTTTTGAAGGCAGGCATAGACTTTTTCTCTCTAGCTACGAAAGTCCTAGATGGCATCTTCTTCCAGTATAAGGCTGTTCTGTCTACATTGAAAATCTGTCCTTTAGCATGGCCACCTTCATGAATTCTCTTAGCTAGATTTCTGGGTAACTCACAGCTTCTACATCAGCACTTGCTGCTTTACCTTGCACTTTGATGTTATGGAGGCGGCTTCTTTCTGTAAACCTCATGAACCAACCTCTGCTAGCATCAAGCTCTTCTGCAGCTTCCTCACCTCTCTCAGCCTGCATAGAATTGAGGGGCCTTGCTCTGAATGGGGCTTCGGCTTAAGGGAAGGTTGTGGCTGGTTTGATCTTCTATCCAGACCACTCAGACTTCCCCGTATCAGTAATAAGGCCGTTTTGCTTTATCATTTATGTGTTCCCTGGAGCAGCACTTTTAATTTCCCCCAAGAACTTCTTTGCATTCACAACTCAGTGAACTGGCCCAAGAGGTCTCACTTTCAGCCTATCTTGGCTTTTCTCACCAGGCTTAATCATTTCTGGCTTTTGATTTAAAATGAGAAATGTGTGCCTCTTCCTTTCCCTTGAACACTTAGAGGCCAGTGTAATGTTATTAGTTGGCCTAATTTCAGTATTGTGTGTCTCAGGAAATAGGCCTAAGGAGAGGGAGACAAGGGAATGGCTGGTGGGTGGAACAGTCAGAACACATGCAACTTTTATCAGTTAAACCTACCATCTTGTATGGGTGCAGTTCGTGGTGCCGCAGAACAATTACAATAGCAACATCAAAGAGCACTGACCACAGATCAGCATAACAAATATAATAACAATGAAAACGTTTGAAATATTGCAAGAATTACCAAAATATGAATGACATGAAATGAGACATGAGAAAATGCTTTTGGGAAAAATGGCAGCTAAAAACTTGCAGGGTTGCCACAAACTTTCAGTTTGTAAAAAAACAAACAAAAAAAACACCTCACTATCTGTGAAACACAATAAAACAAGGTGGGCCTGCATATTATCCTTTTTATAGTTTCATTTTATAGTTTAAGGTAGAACTTTAGATTATTTATTTGAAATCTTTCTTATTTTCTCGTGTAAACCTTTACTGCGATAGTTTCATTAGCACTACCTGGATCTTACAGTTGCAATGCACAGATTTTGATAGATGCTGTATTTTCACTTTCAGTTTGGAATATTTTGTAGTTTACCTTGTGACCTCCTCTTTGACCATATCGATTATTTCAAAGTGTGTCGCTCAATTTCCAAATACTTAGGAAAATTTGTGGATATCTGCTTGTGTCTATAAATATGGATCTACCTCATCTTTAAAGTGATTGTATAATACTTCACAATTTGGATGTACCATAATTTATTTAATCTTTACCTTAAGTAAAGATTAGGTCATTTCTAGTTTTTCACTGTTATAAGCAGTGCTTCAGTATTCAGCCATAAAAAAGAATGAAAACTTGCCATTTCAACAAAATGGATGGACCAAGAGGGTATTACGCTAAGTGAAATAAATCAGACAGAAAAAGACAAATACCATATGATTTTACTTTTATGTGGAATCTAAAAAACAAAACAAATGAACAAAGAAAACCAAACAGACTCATAAGAGAACAAACTGGTGGTTGCCAGAAGGGAAGGGGGTAGGGAAATGAGCAAAATAAGTGAAGGGGGTTAAGAGGTACAAACTTTCAGTTACAAAATAAGTTATGGTGTTGAAAAGTACAGCATAGGGAATATAGTCAATAGTATTGTGATAATCTTGTATGGTGACAGATGGTAACTACATTTATTGTGGTGAGCATTTAGTAATAGTTGAAAGTTTTAATAATTACTTGAATATGAAAGCATGACTTTTAGGTTCCTGCAAAGTAGGATGCATTGGTATATGGGTTTAATGCTCCGTGTGTTTTTTTTTTATCTTTATGTCTCATATTTTAAATTGACTAGCTTTCTCTTTTCTCTAAGAAGCAGAAACTTGTGAAACAGTTGCCTTTAACTTCAATTTGCTTAGAAACAGATTCACCTGCACTAGGACCAGAAAAACAGGTGATTATCTAATTCCTACATTATTTAGATTGTCTTTCTTTTGAGCTATTTTCACCTTAGCTGTGTTTCTCATTATAGTGTAAATACAATGGAATCCTTTTTTTTTTTTTAAGATTTTATTTATTTGAAAGAGAGAGAGTGAATGAGAGGGAGAGAAAATCCCACACTGAGCAGACTCCACACTGAACACAGCCCGACACAGGGCTTGATCCCACGACTAAACCACAAGATCATTACCGGAGCCGAACCAAGAGTCAGATGCTTAAGTGACTGAGCCACCCAGGTGCCCCCATTGGAATCCTATTTTAATGCTTGGTTGAGAGGTTTTATTAATTTTATAGCTCTTGTGCTCCAGCGAATATTACTGGATATTGGCCAGGTCTTAATTTACATAATAATGAGAGCCAGACCAGTAGAGTAAAAAAGCTCAGTGTCCGAGTCAGAAAGACCTAGATTCAAATCCTATCTCTGCTACCCACTAGTTGTGTGACTTTGGGAAAGTTATTTAATCTCTTTGAATCTGTTTCCTCAGGGCGCCTGGGTGGCTCAGTTGGTTAAGCGTCTGCCTTCGGCTCAGGTCGTGATCCCAGAGTACCCGGGATCGATACCCGCATCGGGCTCCCTGCTCAAGGTGGAGGGGCGGCCTGCTTCCCCTGTCTCCCTGTCCCTCTGCTCCTCCCCCTGCTCGTGCTCTCTTTCTTGCTCACTCTCCCTCTCATATAAATAGAAAAAATCTTTAAAAAAACACACAAAAAAAACCTGTTTCCTCATTTACAAAATGACAATAATAACATTAAAATATTACAGTGTGGATTAAATGAAATAATGTATATGAAAAGTATAGCAGTGTCTGGTATATAGTAGATGCTCAAGAAATGTTTTTTTTTCTTTTAATTGGCATGTTATAATGAGGCTCTGTTTCTTTCAGTACAAATATTGATATAGTCATGGATTTACTGATGTGATCTTTCTCTACATTTTGTTATTATAGGTCACAAAGAATCATACTTTAAATATTGCTACCTTTTAAAATTATAACTGAAAGGAAGCCAGAGTATCTACTCTTTTTGCCTTAGTCCGTATTATATTCGCCTACCAGTGCGTAGCTAACTTGTGCCCTTGACCACCCATCAGATCTGTGTCTCCATGCCTGCCAGGTTCAGAAGACTGGCATTCCAGATTCAGAGGTTTGGGAGTTGTGATGTGATTTTTAATAAACTATGATTGTTTATGATTGCAATGTGAATATTGCTAATTAATGTCCAAATAGATACATATTTTTATAAGTCAGCTCTTAATATAGAAGACAGAAAAATCACAACTCCAGTTATTTTTTTTGTTTGGGTATAGGACAAAATGGTACGGAATTGGTTTCTGGTTAGTGTAAACTAGAAGGAAAAGGACCTAGCATTTTTTTCCCTAAACAGGAATGAATTTCATTTTTTTTTAATTTATTTAGAGAGAGAGCACGAGCTGGGGGAGGGGCAGAAAGAGAGGGAGAAGCAGACTCGCCACTGAGCAGGGGACCCGATGCAAGACTCGATCCCAGGGCTCCAGGATCATGACCTGAACCGAAGGCAGACACTTAACCGACTGAGCCACCCAGGTGCCCCAACAGGAATGAATTTCAAATGCTATTCTAACTCAGTTTATATTTACATCTAGTTGATTTGACAAGAATTCTGAGTTTCTGGCATGGGGCCTTGCACATAACAGGTGCTCAGAAGTATTTATTGAACCAATGAATTTCGTAGCTTGAATATGCTTTTTGTTAAGTAAAATGTGTTTGTTTAGAAAATTAGGAAACACAAAATCATAAACAAGAAAATAGAACCATCTACCCCTGAGAGGTTACCACGAGAGTACAGTGGCTAAGAGCATAAACTGATGCCAGATTGCTCAGGCTCAAACCTCAGCCAGCCTATATACTAGCTGTATAGGATTCCTTCTTATCTGTGAAAACAGTACACTAGGGGCACCTGGGTGGCTCAGTCATTAAGCATCTGCCTTCGGCTCAGGTCATGATCCTGGGGTCCTGGGATCAAGTCCCGCATCGGGCTCCCTGCTTGGCGGGAAGCCTGCTTCTCCCTCTCCCATTCCCTCTGCTTGTGTTCCCTCTCTCTCTATGTCTGTCTCTGTCAAATAAATAAATAAAATCTTTAAAAAAATAAAACAAAACAAAAAAAACAGTACACAAATAAAACATAACGATAGTACCTATCTCACAGAGTTACTTTGAGGAATAAGTGAGAAATTCCATGAAAAACTGACAACAAAACCTAGCCAACAATAAGCACTAAATAAATGTAAGTTTTTATGTCCTTCCAGCCTTTTTAATATCCATATATGTACATATATATTTTTCATAAAAATAGGATTCGCTTGAACACATTTCATGACTTGCTTTTATGTGGTAAATATCTATATATGTCAATAAATATACTTTTCCTCAGCACGTTTAATAACTGCATAATATTCCAGTGTGTGAACAGACCATAATATATGTAACTTGATATTGTCATTTATGTTGTTTCCAACACAGTATCATAAGCAATATAATGAATGTCCTTGAACAAAAATCTTGGTGCACATTCTTCATTGTTTTTTTAGGCTAATTATCAAGGTCATTTTTTTTTTTGACTTTAACAGTTCTCTTATTCCTCTGAACATTATCATCCTGAGTAGGAAAAAATAATAATAAGAAAATTCACAAAATCTAAATACTACTGATTATAGATACACCACTGTTTTGTAACCATTAAAAAAGAAAAAAACAGGTGCCTGGGTGGCTCAGTTGGTTAAGCGACTGCCTTCGGCTCAGGTCATCATCCCTGGAGTCCCGGGATCGAGTCCCGCATCGGGCTCCCTGCTCAGCAGGGAGTCTGCTTCTCCCTCTGACCCTCCCCTCTCTCATGCTCTTTCTATCTCATTCTCCCTCTCAAACAAATAAAATCTTTAAAAGAAAAACAACACTGCCAGTTGTGCTGTGACATGCCGTTGAATGTAAGTAAAACATCTATCAATTTCAGAGATGTTAAATAGGAGGAAATGTGTCTTAGAATCAGTGAAATAGCAGTGTATAATCTATTTAGTCTTCCAGACACACAGTAGCAATTCTTGAATCCAACTGTAATATAACCTGTGAGGTGAAGAGGCCAAGCTGCAGAGCAGTGACCTTTACAAGCACTCACTTATGCAACAAACCAAGCACAGTTAATCCATCAGGTCAGGCAGGTCACCAAGCGTTCAACACCGACTTACAGTCAACGTTGTACAGGCCAGCCTTGTGGCTGTAGCTCTTAAGCTTAAGTTCAGGGCCTTCTCCCCAGCCTTGCCACCTTGCCTCCCCTAACCTGCCCATTAAAAAAAAAAAATTGGTTTTTACCAACTCACTTTGTTCTGTTTTATCTATGGTCTCCAAGATTGCTTCCCTTGAGTGTCATATCTGATTCACTTTCTGCTTTGTTCTGTTTCAGGTACGAAATGAACCCCAAAACATTTCCATTTCAGCAGAATATATTGCCCAGGTGAAGGGGATCTCAGTAGAAGAAGTTATAGAAGTGACAACACAGAATGCATTGAGACTGTTTCCCAAGCTTTGGCATCTGCTCCAGAAGTAGCTTCAAAACCAGATGCCAGGGGCACCTGGGTGGCTCAGATGGTTAAGCATCTGCCTTCGGCTCAGGTCATGATCCCAGGGTCCTGGGATCGAGCCCCATGTCTGGCTCCTGGCTCAGCGAGGAGCCTGCTTCTCCCTCTGCTTCTCCCTCTGCCTCTCCCCCTGCTCGTGCTCTCTCTCTCTCTCTCTCTCTCTGTATCTCTGTGTCTCGAATGAATAAACAAAATCTTTAAAAAAAACCAGATGCCACAGGGGACAGCACTTGAGAGAAAGAAATGTTCTGAGTAGGAGTCTGAACTGAAGTTCGAAGCCATTATATAAGGATATGGAAGATTATGATTTTAGAGAAATAGTTCTCCTAAAACCAGGCTTGGGTCCTGAAACCCTGGATTCTGATTCTACCTTGTGCTTCTTTATAATTAATGGAGTCCTAGCAGGAGATTGAGAAACACCACTGCCTCTTACCTTACACCATTAAGTGGAACCCACCATATGACCTGAAACCATTTCTTCTGGCAAGGGAGGCTTCCCCAGGTAAGACATGAGCACTACTGGGACAGCTAACGTTTGATCCTTCACCACTATAGGATTTATCTAGTGGAAGATCATCTTGTTTCTTACACTGTCAGTGATCTCTTTTCTGGGTTTGTAAAATTGAATTGTTAGTACTTTGAATTACTTCTTTTTAAGAGAAAAATGTATAGGTTTTTATATTGATCAATATAGATCAATATAAAATAGATTTTGACTTATGAGGCCAGTGATTTATGCAATCACCATTAAGTGCCAAGCCCCAAAGTTTAGGTAATAAACTGAGTTTAAGTTCCAGTCTGAATATTGTCACATGTTTAAAATGTACATAGCTTTATTAAAATGTATCTGACTATTCTTGCATACAGTGATATTTTATATTTTTAAGTTTTGAAAATCTTGGCTGCAAAGAGTTCTGTGGATGGATGATGGGTACACTAGCACAATAATGTGAATGTATGTAATGCCACTAACCTACACACCTAGTCATTATTAAAGTGGTATTTTATGTTATGTATATTTTACCCCAATTTTTAAAAATCTTATATGTAGTTTACTAAGCGTTGTGACCCATACCAAAGCCTGTGTATTTAATTTTACTAAATTATACAAGCAGCAAATACTGGGAAAAGTACCTATCATAGAAAAAAATTAACTTCCTAAAAAGCTAAGTGATTTTACATAATCTTTAGTATTTTGAAATTAATTTATTTATTGAGGAATCAAAACTAGTTCTAGGGCAGACTGTCCAAACCAAACTAGATTAGCTAAGAAACAGAAGAAGGTACTTCGTGAGGCACTTGACCACCCATCAGCATCATGAGAGATGACATTCCTACATGTAGTGGGAGATTCTATTAAAATCAGACTTCTGGCTCTCTTTCAACTCTGTATTTCTTCTGCCTGTTTCCTACCCTTTCTGCCCACACTCCCTTTGTCAGACTCTCACCTTTAAATCCTTTAAGATCCAACTTAAATGACTTCCCCTGGTCTCATCACCCCAGCCAGATACAATCCCTGCCCTCTAAACTGTGTAGCCGCTTTCTTCATTTCCTCATCAATTTATTCGTTTCATTTATCACACAAACAGTTATGGAGCCCCTCCAATAGGTTTCCCACTAATCTAGGTCCATAGGCTACAGAGAGGAATAAGACATGGTCCTTGCCTTCAGTTCAAAATGTAATAAAGTGGACAAATAATTTCAAAGCACTGTGAGAAGTACTATAATAAAGGAGGAATGGGGTTCTACAAAACCAGCCAGATGACATTTAACACATTCCTTTTTACTAGGGTTACCTTGTATATGTTTTTGCCTTTAGAAATTACAAACCATTTGAGAACAAACCAGTTTTATTTTCTTTTTGCATTTTCTCTGTGGTCTGAAACAAGGTTTGCAATATCATATGCTCTTACATATCTTTTAAAATAAGCGAATGGAGGTAGTAAGTCCAACTGACTGCAGCTGACAAGTTAGATATGTTCTCTTTCAGGCTGCTCTTTGAAATGGAGATTTAATACTCTGTACCTTTTAACTGGTTGGGCTTTTGTTTTGTTTTGTGGTGCATATTTTTCATGTCCAGCCTATGAATGTATTAAATGCTATTCAAAGATTTCCTAATGTTAAACATTCTGAAAAATAGGAATAAATTCTCATGGTCCAGAAAAGCAAATCTGTAATGTTCTGTAGGAATACCTTCCACCAAGTGAAAGGCTAGAAGGGCTTTTCTTCCCCCTCTCCTCTGCCAGCATATGGTGACCTTCTTTTACTAAAAGGAAACATTTCTTATTCCAGCGTTTATCTTTTTTTATTCTGGTAAGAATCAGATGAATATGTATCATTCTTTAAATTAAAAAAGAAAAATTAGTATCAACTCTGTCCTTTAATTATTATGCAACCAAGGGTTCATTTGATCACCTTGCTGCTGCTTTTCTATCTCCTGCCCACTACTTTTCTTCATAATCCTCCACCATCCTCTTGCTGTTGCATGTTTCCTTCCCCTCTCCCAGATCCTTCTTCTAAGCTGAACATAAAGAAGAGTCTTGTTTTTGCATGCTTGAGCTACACTCATACTTCAGAGTTTAATTTTATTTGCCCTTTCTTGCCCCTTTCATGCTTTTGATTGAATACTTCACAGTAACATATTTGAATTGACATTTCATTTACAGGATCTGGATAACTTACAAAGGGTTTCCAGAAACTGTTCTGTGATTTTTAGAGTTTAGCTTTTCAATCATGAGCAAATCTCACTGTCCTTTTTATTTTTATTTTTTTCACGGCCCTTTTAAAACTATGACAGAGGGGCAACTGGGTGGCTCAGTCGTTAAGCGTCTGCCTTTGGCTCGGGTCATGATCCCAGGGTCCTGGGATCGAGCCCCACATCGGGCTCCCTGCTCGGCGGGGAGCCTGCTCCTCCCTCTCCCACTCCCCCTGCTTGTGTTCCCTCTCTTGCTGTATCTCTCAGTCAAATAAATAAATAAAATCTTTATAAATAAATAAAACTATGACAGAGTCTGTGCTAATAATTACAAAGTCAGTCAAAAAGATAGTGTGGAAAGAGATAATTCAGGGATTATCAGTGTTACAAGCTTAAACATGAGGCTTCAAGCAAAAACATCCTAGTACGCCCTCCTCACCCTCCTTATTTTTGGCTAATTCCAAAGCAAGCACATCTCTAAAAAAAGATGACTTCTTTGGTGAACATCTCTGTAATTCGTTAACAACCTGAGTATTATTTATACCTTGCATGTTAAAACTGGTGCAAATAACATTTCCCAAGTTAATAGTTTAATATAAGAAATATAGAGAACCATATATAGCATATAAAAGCAGAAAGTATTAAAAATCTAATGTCCTCTGTACAGGACCTTTCTGTGGATTGCTTCTGAAGCCCAAGTAAATAAATTGTGTAAATGCTCACAGTTTATGTGTGATACATTTAGAATTATAATCCCCTGACTTCCATTTCAGCACTTTTTTCTAAATATCCCAATCTTTGCATTAGTTTAACATCCTTCAAAAGCCATCCTTCGTGTATTTCAAATCAAGAACTCTGAATTTAAGTAGATAGGCAGTAACTAAAGGAAGCAGTAGGAGAGAGAAGGGGTCTTGAGATTCATATGGATCGACATCTATCTTTTTTTTTTTTTTTGGCCATGACACATGTGAATTGCTTTCTTTAGTGAATCTCTCACCTTGTAGAAGTTAAAAATGCCAGGTAGTCACTTTCCAGCCTTCTTTGCAACAAGGCACTAATACCATGACCCACCCTTGAGTTTGAATTATTTGAGGGATTTGAAGAGGCCAGGACTGATCGACTCCATTCTGGTGAGGTGGGCAGTGTAGCAGTGAATTTAGAGTCCAGCTTGGCAAGGTTGGCAGTGTTCACTTCAGGGTCTGTGCCCAGTGGCTGTGGCAGTGGTCTTTATGCTTCTAGTTCAGTGGCATGAATTTGGTTTTTCAGCCCTTCTGGAGATTTTATCCAATATCCTTCAGTAAGTTCATTTCCTTAAATTAGCTAGATTTCTTTTCTGTTGTTTATATCTTTAAGAATCCTGACTGGTGAGAAGATCGATACCCTAAAGTAGTTGTCACCAAGAAACCGTTGGGGAAATGAAGGAAAGAAGGAAAGGAGAGAAGGAACAATGGGATTCCTTATAGAGCCTGGACAGCGTTCCAGGCAGCACGTGTCCAGTTACTGTTCAGGGAGAAGGCACTGGCAGTCCATGGCAGATGGTGATTTGTCTTGTGAAAGCATTTCAAAAAGACATTCTTAGAGCAAGAAGGATACATGTTGATTTGGGGATAACGCAAAGGCTACACTGCATTGAACATTTTCATTCTTTTTCTCCACTTTTCCTGTATTTGTAGAATCTCTTAGCTTACAAGGCACAGCCCGTCTTCCACTCTAGAAGCTGAAGATGCCAAATAGTTGCTTTCCCAAATTTTCTTACCGACTATGACAGTTATATGACCTAGGTTCCACCAATAAGCTGCACCCAACCCAGACTTGGAATCTGAAGCCAGGGATGTAAAGATAAAGAAACGGGCTGTGTGGACACCATGCTGGGGTGGGAGGTGGCACCTGCACCCAGTTGAGAGGCGCTGGTGGCCTTGATTGTACTGTAGTATCTAGCATCCGAAGGCAGTGAGTCTTCCTGCGCCTTGTGGCCCAATTTGGGCATTGTCTCTGGCTCTGTGACCTACAAACCTGGTCCAGTGGCCTTCTCGGAGCTTGCGTGAGCTACCCAATATATTTAATAAATTCCTTGTCTGCTTAAATTATTCCAAGTTGGTTTCTGTTTCTTGAAACTAAGAACTCTGACTGCTGTAATAGTCCATCAGTCCACAAAATTCCACCCGGGGGTGTCTCACATTGCTATCCTCACCACCACAACAAAATTCGTCATTGCAATACTTTCACCAAACAAATTTTTTTTTAAAGATTTTTTTTTATTTATTTATTTGAGACAGAGAGAATGAGAGAGAGAAGAGAGAGAGCACATGAGAGGGGGGAGGGTCAGAGGGAGAAGCAGACTCTTTGCCGAGCAGGGAGCCCAATGCGGGACTCTACCAGGGACTCCTGGATCATGACCTGAGCCGAAGGCAGTCGCTTAACCAACTGAGCCACCCAGGTGCCTGTCACCAAACAAATTTAGAGTCCATTTTAACAGGCACCTTCTGCAATCAGTAGCTCCCTAATAGAGGAAATCTGTATGTAAATCCATTTTTATCTGCTTCTTCTAACTTTCTGATCTTAGGCCCAACTGGAAACATTTATTGTTAATAGAAGTTAAGGAGTCTGGAACTGTCATTGAAGTATCCAAAATTTTTTAAAAATAGGGAGAGAAAACTTTTCATTGGTGGAATGAGTAAAGCTCAGATATTTGGATTAGCTAGATATATAATTCTTGCATGAGTAAGATATATTTTTAAATGGCTGGAAAAACATCAAAAGAATAATAATATTTCATAATATGTGAAAATTATATGAAATTCAGATTTCAGTGTCCGTAAAGGTTTATTGGGACACAGTTATGCTCATTCGTTTTCCTGTGTCTGTGTTCATTCTTTGGTGACAGAATTGACTATTTGCACCAGAGATCACATGGACGTAAAAACTAAAATACCTTTAGCCTTTTACAGAAAATGGTTTGCTGACCCCTGGCCTATACTTTTCAGAATAATGCCTGAGGCCCAGGGTGTCTCCTGGTCTGGAATTCAGCCCCTTAAAGAGGATCCAGTCACCTGAATTGAACTGGAAGGCTCACTCAGTCCCAAACAGAGCAGTGGTTCTCATTCCTGGCTGCACATCAGTATTACCAGAGGCGCTTTTATAAAAAGTTCCCACGTCTGGTCCGACCCAGGTCATTTAAATGAGAATTGCTGGAATCGGGGTCTAGGGAAATTAATTTTTGAAAAGCTCGCTAGATGTTTCTGAGGTGCAGCCAAAGTTGAGAGCCATGTGCTGGAAAATGGAGTGACTCCAAGAAAGGTGTTTGTGGGTGTGCCTTAAACTGCAGTGCTTTTCAAACTTTATATATAAGTCAACTGAGGATCTTGTTAAAAGACAGGTTCCATTTCGGTAGAGCTGGGGTGAAACCTGTGATGGGGTCCACGGCAGCCCCCCCCAAATATGCCACTCTGCAATATTAATTATTTGGGTTATTTTGAATCAAAGTTACTTAAGAAGCAGCAGTGCAAGAAGGACACTCTGAGCCTCCTTTGTCCCCCTGCAAGCAGGAAATAAATCTCCCCTGTGAAAGGTACCCTCCCAAATCAGGAGTTGAAGAGACATCCTTATCACCAGAGATAGGGAATTCCGCACTGAGAGGCTGTATAAACACTCGTTTCTTCTTCACCAGTTTACTGGCCCAAGCCCAGACTTGTCTTGTCAATTCCTCACAAATTTCTTGTTTCTTTGTCTGAAAGGTATAAAAGTTTTGCTTTGGTCACTTCCTTTGAGTCTCATATTTTTATAAGCTCTCCTATGAAATTAAATTTGTCTTTCTCCTGTTACTCTGTCTTATGTCAATTTAATTATTAACCAGCCAAAGAACCTATAAAGGAAGAAGGAAAAGTTTTCCTCCCTTATACCTAAGATCCCATATTTCAAAAAAACTTGCAGATATTGCAGATGCTGCTGGTCCGTGACTAGCAGGGTGAGGGCAAGGAGTTCATTGAACCTGTAGAACATATTCCATGACTTGTATTTTTGCCTGCTTAGTAATGAGTAGTTGCTCAGCAGAGTTCTACTTCAGATATGGTGGTCAGCTAAGGCCTCTGAGGACGTGACATGCTAGTTGAGTTGCTGAAGGGTGCAAAGGGGTCAGATCTGAGAAGAATGGGGAAAGAACTTCCCAGGCAGAGAGGAGCTGATGTGATGGCCCTATGGCAAGAAGGACTCACTTTTGAATGGCCTGGTGACTAGAGGGTGACAGAGATTGATGCTATTTGTTTCGTTAATAGGAAAGATAACATTTAAAAAGGAGATGGCTCCATTGATCCTTGCTGGGTATATCACCTTGAAATCAGTTCTCAGAAAATCAGAGGAATTCAGTCACCCTGAGAAGGAAAGCAATTCACAGGAAGATGAAAAGGAGTGTTAGCTGGGCCATACAGAAATAATGGGACACAGAGAGGACTTGTAACAGACTTTGCTAGGTTCCTCCCTGTTCCACACCTAGTTCATGTTGCACTGTAGTTATTGATGGTGATAGCTCTCTTCCTGGAGCAGGTCCTCTATCTAAATTCTTTCAGGCAGTTAGGGGGAAGGTCAAAGTTTCTTCCTTAGTCTTTGAGGTCTTGATGGTGTTCAGCTCAAGAGTCATCTACATGCCAAAATGGCTGCCTAGGGCAGCTTCAGCAGCAATGGTGAGCCATGCTGAAGTCTTTTCTGGAGTGCCAGGGTGCCACAGGGAGCCTTCCTGCAGGAGCATTACTGGCCTTCACTTGGAAACTCACCTGCAGACAGCCATACAGGGATCCAGAGCAGAAAAGGAGGAAAATGCTGGTCCCCACGTGTTTATGAGGGAACACGTGCATCAACAGATATGAAACATTACTGGGAGGCGGTAGAGGAGGTGGCTGGACTTCTCGTGATTTCAGGCAGTCATGAGGGAGCAGAAGGCTAGCTGAAGACAAAGCATAAGCTGACACCCTGCAGCCTCCCCCCAACCCACCCCCCACTCCTGGGTGGGACATGTATGACATTCTTCCAGGAATCTCCCAACTATCTTAGTGTTAATACTTTGCTAGAGGGGAAAACAACCTTAACATGACAATGGCAAGACCTCTGGTATCTTGTAGGTATCTTGTAGATCCGTCCTCTTTAGCATATGAAAGTTCTTTTGAAACCCCCCCCTTCCCCCCCCCCCCCCCCCCCCCCCAGCTCCCGAGTATATAATCACCGCTCCTCAAGGCCTGGTGCAGCAGCAGCTCTTTCTGCCCACAGGTCCTGTTCCCATGCTTTAATAAAACCACCTTTTTGCACCAAAGACGTCTCAAGAATTCTAGGTCATCGACTCCGGACCCCACCCCACTGAACCTCACCTATATTCCAAAACCCCTTCTGTAGGGTCAGAGTCCGAAATACATATGGTTTTGTGACGTTTGAGTTTCTGGTTTTAGCCCTTGGCTTCCGAAGGATGTATAGAGGAAGACGATGTGGAACACCTATTAGGAAAAAGGGCTGGGGGGGGGGTGCGCCTGGGTGGCTCAGGTGGTTAAGCGACTGCCTTCGGCTCAGGTCATGATCCTGGAGTCCTGGGATGGAGTCTCGCATTGGGCTCCCTGCTCAGTGGGGAGTCTGCTTCTCCCTCTGACCCTCCCCCCTCTCATGTGCTCTCTCTCTCTCATTCTCGCTCTCTCAAATAAATAAAATCTTTTAAAAAAATTTAAAAAAATTAAAAAAAACAAAAGGAAAAAGGGCTGGGGGAGGGAAGGTTTCCAGGAGAAGGTGGTATTTAAACTAAAGCAAGCCAAGTGAAGGGAGGATAACAGAATAAGGCAGAGAACCACAAATAGTTCCTTAAAACCTGGAGGAGAAGGTAGGAGAGGATTACAGAGAAAGGAGGTTAGAAGGATTGTTAATTATATAGTACATAACTGGACACCCATTCACTGTGTGTTTATGCCCCAGGATTCATCTTAGAGTGAACCCAAGGAATGATGTTGTATCTGATGGTCTTTATTTGAGTTGCTCGGTGTTGGGAGATAATTCTCCACAGAGCTCTCACATTTCTGCATGCCTTGGGAGCAGAGGCACCGACAGCTTTTGTTCCAGACTATCTCTTCAAGGGTGTTTGTAGCCAAGGACCTTGGATGGCAGAAATAATGTCTCACTGGAACAGAGGGAAGGTTTATTTACCATCCAGTATAATAAAGATTGGGTTTCTTCAGCTCAGGGGTCGTCAGGTGTGAGGCAAAACCTCTGTGTATGTGCCATCTATCTGGACAGTTCCATATTGCCATGGAGGGCAAGGGGGACCCACCTAAACATGAGGCTTGTGCTACTTGCTGTGCTCAGAGTAATAAAGTCCTTTGCCACAGAGCTAGGAGTCTTCTGCCTTCTGTCAAAGCTCATGAAGCTGTGGGAGGCTAACCTTCAAAGCTCTTGACACTAGGTGTTTGCCTTCTTGAGAAGCAAAAAATTAGTTTTGGGTCTGGCTTTTTTTTTTTTTACATCAAGAGTTAATGAATCCTACCCATACTGGGCACTTGTGAAGTCCTAGCTGGGGTAGGATTTTAGGCCAGTTGAATAATCCATATCCCTTCTAATACAAAAATACTCTGGTTTATGAATCTGAGCTTTCTGTGGAAGCAAAGGGCAACTAAATACAAGGTGAATATTTCACTGATGTAAAGACAAATGCCAAGAAGCCAGGCAGTGCTTGGCTTACCAAATGGAATAGGCTATGACCTCAGACTACAATATGGAACACACACCAGATTAAAATCGAAAAATAGTCTGCTATCCAGGAAACAATGACACAGAGGTGATGGTAGCCAAATGGGGTTTGGCCACGAGATGATTCTGGCAATGCCCACCTTGGAGATGGGCAATGAAATAGAACAGAAGTCTCTATAGGCACCTCATATTACCTTCTCGAGTATGTACTTCTTCAAATTATCAAAATCGCAGCTTTAACAGAGTAAGTTAATGCAATTACACAATAGAAGCAAGTGTTAGCTTTGAGAAACTTTAGTCTTCAACTTGACTAGTGGGATTGGTCAACACATTCTACTAATTTTAAAAACAAGCTATTTAAACATTCTAGGTTAGGGACACCTGGCTGGCTCAGTTGGAAGAGCATGCGACTCTTGGTCTTGTGGTTGTGGGTTTGAGCCCCATGTTGGGTGTAGAGATTACTTAAATAAATAAATAAATAAACTTAAAAAAATAATAAAACACTTTAGCTTACAAAAGAGAAGATCACTGTAAAGTGAACTTTTTGGTCACTCATCTTTGAAACTATCTTTAATCACTCAAAACCTCTTCAGAACATCCAAGTCTAAATAATGGTTCAGAATGAATAAAGGTATGTTTTACGTGACAATAAAATGTTTTCTTGGTGATCCAGTGAATAATTTTTTTGCTTCTTTTATAATTAATATTTGTAAATAAGACAGACATTGAAGAAGGATCAAAGAGATTATATTTCTTTGTGTCTCTGGAGTTGCACTTTATCCAAATATGGCATTATCTGAAAAATAAAAAGAAGTAGTTGTTAGATAACGTATAATACATTTCATAGTTCCAGAATAACCCTGAAGGCAGAGAGGATGATACTGCTTCACAGATACAGAAAGGAAGGATTAGCAACATTAAATGACTTAGCACATGACATTAGTCAATAGCAGAAGCAGAACTTGAACCCAAGTGCAATGGACTGAATGTTTATGCCCCCCTACCGCCCCAAATTCTTACGTTGAAACCCTAATGACAGTGTGATGGTGTCAAGAGCTGGGGCTTTTGGGAGGTAATTAAGTCATGAGGGTGGAGTCCTCATAAATGGGATTAGTGCCCTTAGAAGAAGAAGCCAGAGAGCTAGCTAGCTCTTTCTGCCATGTGATGACATAGCAAGAAAACAGCCCTCTCTAAGCCAGGAAGAGGGCATTCGTCAAGAACCCGATGATTTTGGCACCCCGATCTCAGAATTCCAGCCTCCAGAACTCTGAGAAATAAATTTTGTTTAAGCTACCCAATCTGTTGTAATCTAACAGCCTGAACTAAGATACCTGCATCTTCTGTTTTTAAGGCTAGTATGCCCCTCTTTGGGCCTCCACATCTCCAAGTGGAAGACTGAGAAGAGACCTTGGAGATCTCCAGCTAAGAAAACCTGTGCCCTGGTCTTCATATCCCTATTGATAGAAGCAAAAAGGAGTCCCCAGAACCCCAAGCGCTCTTAGCAAAGTCCCAACCGTTCTCAGCTTTAACACTCATGGCCTCACCACTGCTTGAGACCATTAAGACTAACCTCATTCTGTTCTTTTTTTTTTTTAGGTTTTATTTATTTATTTGACAGAGACACAGCGAGAGAGGGAACACAAGCAGGGGGAGTGGGAGAGGGAGAAGCAGGCTTCCCGCGGAGCAGGGAGCCCGATGCAGGGCTCGATCCCAGGACCCTGGGACCATGACCTGAGCCGAAGGCAGATGCTTAACGACTGAGCCACCCAGGCGCCCCCCTCATTCTGTTCTTTATCCCTGTTTACTTGGGCTACCTCAAGAAGCCAGGAGTTCTGAGAGAGAGAAAAAACAAGAAACAGACTCAACTATAGAGTCATACGATATGGCTACCAGTGGTGGGGGGATGTTTCAAATAGGTGATGGGGATTAAAGAGTATACTTATCATGATAAAAAAAAATAATAAAAATAATGGGGGGGCGCCTGGGTGGCTCAGATGGTTAAGCGCCTGCCTTCGGCTCAGGTCATAATTCCAGGGTCCTGGGATCAAGCCCCACATCGGGCTCCTGGCTCAGCGGGGAGCCTGCTTCTCCCTCTCCCTCTGCCTCTCCCCCTGCTCATGCTCTCTCTCTCTGTATCTCTATGTCTCAAATGAATAAATAAAATCTTTAAAAAAATGAAATAAGATTTAATAAAAAAATAAAAATAAAAATAAAAAAATAAAATAAAAATAATGGGGAAAAAGGGAAGCCAGGAGTTCTGGGTTGCCCCACATCTCCTGATGCTAACCACACGACTCTATGAGCAGCAGTGCAACTCCTACCTGGCACTTCCTATTCACTCCCATCCTGCTGCTTTATGTTTCTCCATATCACTTACCCACTTAAAAAATTTCTGCCTCTATCCACTCAAGAACCCACTGAAATCTAAGTTTTATGTGGCAGGGGTTTTATCTATCACTGTACTGCCAAGGACAGAACAGTGCCATAAAAATTTGCTGAATGGGGGCGCCTGGGTGGCTCAGTCGTTAAGCGTCTGCCTTCGGCTCAGGTCATGGTCCCAGGGTCCTGGGATCGAGCCCCACATCAGGCTCCCTGCTCAGCGGGAAGCCTGCTTCTTCCTCTCCCACTCCCCCTGCTTGTGTTCCTTCTCTCTCTGTCAAATAAATAAAAAATCTTTAAAAAAAAAAAAATTTGCTGAATGAATGTGCTTCTTCCTCTAACATAGGTATGTACAAAGGAAAAGAGCATTTTCTAATTCTCACTGTATATATCCAGCAATACGTACCTTCTTATTATCCTCTTCTGTTTCTAAAGATTATTCTGCAACAACAAATGTGCCATGGGAAACTCTAGGTTTGTGAGCCATCGCCCAAGGGCACAGTTACTGGTCTCGAGAGGAATGAGGTAAGATTTACCATTATTTCTGGAAAAATACATTCTATGTCCCAATATTTATTCAGTCATCAAATGAATGTTTTCTGAGCGCCTAATTAATGCCAGACACCATTCTAGGAACGGAATGGATAAAGCAATGAAAAAACAGATAGCATCAAGGAGCATTAGGGAGTGACAAACACTGTAGAGGAAAAGAACGCTAGGTATGGTGTTACAGGATAGGTGTCTCCAACTCAGGAGAAAGGTCAGGGCCGGAAATAGAAATGTACAGGATAGAGATGAGATTTTCAAGTCCTGTAACAGTTGAAGACCAGCAATCTGTCTCATTGAGATCACCTAAAAACTAAGTGTAGATGATGAGAAGTGGGCCATCTTACAGAAAAAGGATGTGCTTTTACAGTTAATGATGTTTATCATTCAATTCAATACATATTTGTTGATGGTGTACTAGAGTAATATGTTCATCAAATTTTATAAGTAATGTCCCATCTCCTTATTTTTACAAATGAGGATTTTTTTTCTGGCCTCCTGGGGGAGGAGGTATTCTCTCATATCTGTTCTCAGTCTAGTGTGGTGGGGCTGAACTTTTGGGTTGGAATGTGGTAAGTTCTCTTTTGGGCTGAGTTTAACTTTCACTACTTCTAAGCCAATTTCTCCAGTATAGATAGTTTTCCAGTGACAAAGTGACAAAGCCAATTTTTACCTCCATCCATCTCTCAATTGATATAAACTGAGGAATAGAAGGATATTATTGTTGACATTTTCAAGCCTCTACAGTATCCAGAATAAAGTAGACACTTAAAAAAATGTCAGCACCCTTCTCTATACCCACATACTTTCTACTTGTGGAAATAAAACAAACAAACAAACAAAAACCCAATATCTCTTATTTATCTAAAGTTGAAACCAGAGACTTTAAGTTTCAAGTAGAGATTAATGGGGGAAAAAAGTCTTTTTTTTTAAGATTTTATTTATTTATTTGAGAGAGAATGAGAGAGAGAAAGCACATGAGAGGAGGGAGGGTCACAGGGAGAAGCAGACTCCCTGCTGAGCAGGGAGCCCAATGCGGGACTCGATCCCGGGACTCCAGGATCGTGACCTGAGCCGAAGGCAGTCGCTTAACCAACTGAGCCACCCAGGCACCCCTGGGGAAAAAAATTCTAATGAGCTTTTGAGAATACACAGTACTGGGTCAATAATTACCTACCATTTGTTCAAACAAGTGGTTCTCAAGCTTTTTGATCTCAAGATCCATTATATGCTTAAAAATTATTAAAAACCCTATCAAAGTTTTGTTCATGTGTGTTGTACCTCTCAATATTTACCACATTAGAAATTTAAATGGAGGGCACCTGGGTGGCTCAGTTGGTTAAGCGACTGCCTTCGGCTCAGGTCACAATCCTGGAGTCCCAGGATCGAGTCCCACATCGGGCTTCCTGCTCAGCGGGGAGTCTGCTTCTCCCTCTGACCCTCTTCCCTCTCGTGCTTTCTATCTCTCATTCTCTCTCTCTCTCAAATAAATAAATAAAATCTTTTAAAAAATAAAATAAAATAAAAAGAAATTTAAATGGAGAAAAAATTTAAAGCTCAAGAATACAAGTCAACATTCCATTTAATGGTCAGAAAAATGATGTGATTGCATATCATACTGCTTCTGGAAAACTCTATTGTACTCCCATGAGAGTATAAAAGGTAAGTAATATCTCAGCATTATTATGAAAATAGCTTTGACCCTGTGGGTCCCTGAAAAGACCTGAATATACAGGGGTTCCCCAGACCACCCTTTCAGAACTACTAATTTAGACTAAAAAAGAAAAAGCATGTATTTACATGCTAATTACCATAACCTTTAAATTAGGTCTATGCTGGGCGCCTGGGTGGCTCAGTTGGTTAAGCAACTACCTTCAGCTCAGGTCATGATCCTGGAGTCCTGGGATCAAGTCCCACGTCGGGCTCCCTGCTCAGTGGGGAGTCTGCTTCTCCCTCTGACCCTCCTCCCTCTCATGCTCTCTCTCATTATCTCTCCCAAATAAATAAATAAAAATCTTTAAAAAAATTAGGTCTATGCTTATTCTGTATCTTATCATAACATTGAATTTCTGTTTGAGTCTGCTTACTTAAAAGAAACAAAGAGCTTTTCTGCAATATTTAAAGGTTTGTTTCAACTTTCCAGAATTGTTGGTTTATAACCTCAAATATCATTAATGTTGGCTATGGAAATTATGTTTGTTAGACTCCGTTTTGTAGAAAACCATGTGTATTCATGTAAAGTGGTAAACTATGTTTGTCATAGAAGGTGGATATTACCACCCACCATTAAACTTGTGAGAATTAACCTACTAGTTGTGGCTTACCTCATCTAGTTCCAAGTAATTCAAGCAGAATAAAAGATTGTGCAGATCCACTTAGAACACTAGATGCATTCCTCCTTGTAAAGAGTTATTTTTTGAGTAAAATAAACACATGGCTGTTTCTGTTACTTTGAAGCACCATGGAGAATCTCAGTTTCCCATGCCACACTGTATCACCTCTCTATCCCACTTACTAAGAGCTTGGGGCAAATGAAAAGTCACAACCCCTTCATCAAGTTAATCTTGTTAAAGTTAAATCTCTAAAATAGTGATTCTTTTGTTTCTGATGTAACTTAATCATGTGTTGTTTGTACTTAATACAATTGCACTCTTTTTTCTTTTTACATAAATGACAAAATGCCATCAGTTGCTTATCTTGACTTAGGAACAAGTATTCACAATCAATAGTAGTTACCCTTTCTCTTCCTCCTCCTGCAAAATAATATCACCACCGGGCGCCTGGGTGGCTCAGTTGGTTAAGCGACTGCCTTCAGCTCAGGTCATGATCCTGGAGTCCCAGGATCGAGTCCCACATCGGGCTCCCTGCTCAGCAGGGAGTCTGCTTCTCCCTCTGACCCTCTTCCCTCTCGTGCTCTCTATCTCTCATTCTCTCTCTCTCAAATAAATAAATAAAATCTTTAAAAAAAAAAATAATATCACCACCACCACAAACCCCCATGCCAACCTCCTTCCACATTCTATTATTGTGACTCAGGGCCTCTTGTTTGATATTTGTCATCAAAATCATTTCTATTGTATCTCAATTTTGCATGTGAAATTTTTGTAGAGGCAACAGAAATTGGTGAGAGGTCTCTGGAGTTTTTGTGGTCTATTATAATTATCTACAACAGCTTTTCTCTAAATATGGTTCTCAGGCCATCAGCATCAGCATCTCCTTAGCCTACCCGAAAATGCAGATTCTGGGACCCAAAGGAGAGCCTACTGAATGAGTCAATCTGGAGGTCCAGTTTGAAACTGAGAATTTCTGATCTACAGTAGATCTTATATCAACGAACCTTGTTTACTGATGCTTTTTACTTCAGACAGATTTCCTTTAAACTATCCCAGAGCGACACTTCCTGAAACTCTCTCAACCCCAGAAACTCTTCCCCAAGTTTACTTATAAATCCCTCCTGTCAATTCGGTGGGAATCCTATCACAACAACTTACTTTTTGCAGGAAAGTGCTTTTTCTCCGTGTGAGCAAGGAGACTCAGTGTGACCCAGGAGCTCCTACCACTATCAGGAACGTATTCTTTGATTTGGGTGTGAGTTGAGGGCATATAGGCACCACTGAAATGCCTCTTTTGAACTCTCAGTAAACTGACTTGATTGCTTCTTTCCACAAGGCAGTTGGATTCACGCTTTTCATTTATCTCCTTCAGGAGACATTGTTTGCTTTCTTTGAGCTTTGTAATTATTTCACTGGTTCTGTTCATAGAAGTCATTATGCTGACAAACCAGTCATCAAGTGATTCTTACTGTCTGCAAACAAATGACAAAATACTATCAGCGGTCCCTTGACCTAGCGGCCAGTCTTCAGTCAGTTCCTCTTTCTCCTCTCCTCCTGTAAAATACCACTACTGCTGTGCCCCTCACCCCATATCTCACTCCATTTTTATTATTGTTTCCGAAGATCTTTTTGGTTTTTGATGTTTCTTCCGAAAAAAAAAATCATAAAAAGAGGATTTTACATTGAACACTACATCAAAAACTAATGATGTACTACTATATGTTGGCTAATTGAGTTTAAGTAAATAAAAGAAGAAAAAGGGGATTTTAGTAAGAGAATATATTTTGTTTTTGAAACTAAGGCTATGGGGCGCCTGGGTGGCTCAGTCGTTAAGCGTCTGCCTTCGGGCTCAGGTCATGATTCCAGGGTCGTGGGATCGAGTCCCACATCGGGCTCCCTCCTTGGTGGGAGGCCTGCTTCTCCCTGTCCCGCTCCCCATGCTTGTGTTCCCTCTCTCTGTGTCTCTCTCTGTCAAATAAATACATAAAATCTTTATTTTTTTTAAACTTTTTTTTTTAAGATTTATTTATTTATTTATTCGAGAGAGAGAGAATGAGAGATAGCACGAGAGGGAAGAGGGTCAGAGGGAGAAGCTGACTCACCGCTGAGCAGGGAGCCCGATGCGGAACTCGATCCCGGGACTCCAGGATCATGACCCGAGCCGAAGGCAGTCGCTTAACCAACTGAGCCACCCAGGCGCCCCAATACATAAAATCTTTAAAAAAAATAAAATAAAATCAATATTAATTTGAAATCCAAGTAACTCTATAGTCCTTTCTACACACAAGGGCTACTCTCAGACATTAAAAAAACAATCTCCCGTAAACATTTTATATCGATGAACAGAACTTTCTTTTAAGGGACTATCGTGGACTAGATTATTCAGACATAACTCCCAGTGAAAACTACTAAAAATTCTGGGGAAAAAATTTTTTTAATTTGTTAATAATGAAATGATAGGAGAGTTAGAAAATATCAGGTCCAAAATGAAGGAAAGCAAGAACAAAGACATAGAGAGGTAGACAGAACCTGTGCTTGCCTGAGGACATTTTCTAATCCTGGAGGTTAAAGAAGTCATTTTGCTAGCTTAGAGGGCAAGGGACAGAAAAATCAAAGCTCAAAGCCTATGCTATGCACAGTGGAGAGCCTAAAGTAGACCTTTTCCATATTAAGTTGGCATCCAAAGGGCTACCGCCTCAGGGTGAGAGTGAATAAGAAATAAACTCACATTCCATCAAGAACTTGCAGGAAGAATGTTGCTTTAGCACTAGGCACAGCTCTGGGGGAAAATCCCTCCAAGAAAAGTTGTAAGTGCTTCCTGACTCTCACATGGATTTTCAAACCAAATTCACAGCTAGGGCGGTTACAAGAAATGTCAAGCTGAAAAGCAAGAATGGTGCAAGAAACATCAAGCTGCAAAGCAAGGGTGGTAGCAAGAATTTAGCTAAAGGGGTTCCAGGCTGGGAGTACATCCAAGTGACTGACAGAAGCAAACTCAAATCTTTTCTGGAAGAACTTCATCCTAGGCCTCTGGGAATCCCCAATACTTTTTCAAAGACAACAAAGAGCGCACAGCCAAGGATAATCAATCAAGCGCAAAGGTAGATGAGGCATCATAAAGTGAGAACAACAGTAACAAAACCATGAAATCTACATACGGGAGAAACATCAGATGAATTATAGAACAATTACACAGACTACATCTAAGGAAACGAGAAAGTAAGTTTGCAACTATCTTCAGGAAACAAGAAGCCAAAAAGAATTTCTAGAAATGAGAAAATGTTATTAAATAACATTTCATATGGGTTTAGTAGCAGATACGGATTCAGATGAAGAGACAATTAGAGGACTGGGAGATAAATCAGAAGTCATTATCCTGAATGCAGCACAGAAGGACAAAAAGTATGAAAAAGCTAAATATGGGGAGGGCACAGTGAGAAGGTCAAACCTACAGGAAATGGGAAATCCAGAGGACAAAAATGAGGCAGAGACAAGATTTAAAAAGATGTTTGAGAAATATCCAGAACTGACAAATGATACCACTCCAGAGACTCAAGAAGCTTAAAGAATAGCCGTCAAGATTTTATTTTATTTTTTTTTAAAGATTTTATTTATTTGAGAGAGAGAGAGGTAGCGAGAGCAGGAACACAAGCAGGGGAGTGGGAGAGGGAGAAGCAGGCTTCCCGCCGAGCGGGGAGCCCGATGCGGGGCTCGATCCCAGGACCCTGGGATCATGACCTGAGCCGAAGGTCAGGTCGCTTAACAACTGAGCCACCCAGGCGCCCCAAGATTTTTTTTTAATCCTCACTTAAATTATAGTGGAATTTGGAAAAAAAGGAAATCTTTTAAGCAATGAGAGAATAAAAGGAAGGGCAATTAAACTAACAGCTGACTTCTCAAAAAGGAACAATAGAAGCCATAAAAGAGAAATTATATTTTCAATGCAGTAAGGAAGTTATACAGATGGTAAAATCAGCACACAGAGAGATGCTCAGCATCATCAATCATTAGGGAAATGTAAATACTACAGTGAGATAGTGCCTATCAGTAGAATGGCTGAAATTAAAAAGATTGACCAAATCAAGTGCTGGTGAAGATGGGGAGGAACTGGAACTCTCAGACACTGCTAGTGAGGTTGTAAAATGGTACAACTGTTTTGGAAAACAGTGCGGTAGTTAAAAAGTTAAACATATATCTGCCATATGCTCTAGTCCAGAGTATTTACCCAACAAAAGTGAAAGTCTCTATACAAGTGTATGAAGAAACTATTTGTACACAAGAAAATTTATATATGAATGTTCATCACAGCTTTATTTTTATGAGCCAATAAGTTCTACCAACCCAAATATCCATCAACAGCTGAATGGATAAACAAATTATGGTATTACCCACACAATGGACACTACTCAGTTATAAAAAAGGAATATATTATTGCTACACACGGTAACATGGATGAATCGCAATGTAATTATGCTGAGTGAAAAAAAATCCAGACAAGAAAGAATATATACTATATGATTCCCTTCATATAAAATGCTAGGAAATGTGAACTACTCTACTAGAACAGCAAATCAGTGTTTGCCTGGGAATGGGAAGGGGTTGAGGACAAGGGCAGCAGACAGGGGTTATAAAGGGACATGAGTAAACTTTTGGGGGTGGTGACTATGTTCATTATTTTGATTGTGGTGATGGTTTCATGGGTGTATGTATATGTCAAAGTTTACGACATTGTACTTTAAACATGTACAGTCTATTTTATGTTAATTACATCTCAATAAAACTGTTAAATAAAATTGGAATCAGCACCTAGCACATTGCCTAATGCATATCAGGTGGTTAATAAATATTTGTTGAATGAATGAAAAGTATATTACTTATAAATCTTGACTCCTATTCACTCACTATTATATCATGAGACTTTTTCATGCCATTACATGGATGTCATTCATAATAAAAATGAAATATTTGATGACTGTGGTAATCTTTCATATGGACTTAAAATAATACATTTGATTAGTCCATTTATTGTTAGACTTGTAGGTTGTTTACACTTAGAACAATACACTTTGAAACACAGTGAAGTGGCAAAAATCATACAAACACACACTGTTTTAGGAAACCCGCCAGAGTCATCGTTTGTCACTCCTGGATACACAAAAGGAGACGAGGTATGTTTCAAAGTTCTCTGGCTAACACATAAATCTTACATGTGTTTGTACTTGCAGAAAATAGTTGTCCCTAAACAAAAGGAAATGGTTTAAGGGAGAATGGAATTTGAACTTTTTTCCCCCTCCCCCTGTCCAAAGCCCAAGGAAGACTAGAATTTTCTGAAAGATGGTAAAGAATTGTCTCAGGCAGTTATTTCCACAATAATGCTGCAAAACTCAACAGCATACAACAATAAACATTTATTCTTATGCTCAGTGGTGGATTGAGCTGGGCTGGGCTCACCTGAGAACTTGGCTGGCTTGAAGGTCTGGCTGGGCTTGGCTCCCCGGTGAAGGTTGAGCTTAGGTCTGCTCCCAAAATTTTAGGACTGGGAAAAACAAAAAAAGCTATTTTCCTCTAATCGAGCATGTCAGATGGGACCTAAATCTCTTATCCTTATTTTGTTTCTAGGAATTTTAATAGCATAAGAGAATTTTTTTTTTTTAAGGTAAAGGATATGAGAAAAAAATTTTTTCTTGATCTGCAGTTTCATTTTCCCACCTCTGGCAGGCACATCATTTCCACTTTCCATTTCTGTTTCCTGTCTCCCTGAAAAATCCTCAAGCTTAGGCAGCATATCTTTCACAATAAAATTGGAGTTCAATCCCATATAATGTAGGAGCCCAATAAAAAGCAATTGACAAATTGACCTTCTTAAATGTATAAATCCAGTAATATTTGTTCACAAATATAAAAGATAATATACAACCCACCAGAAAATGATCCCTTGGTATTAAAATGATTTAAGTAAACTTTCTCTTTAGACAAGATGTCAATTGCAGACATGAAAAGAGAAAGGATGCCTTTTCAACATTGGATCTAGCAAGTTTAAATTGAAGGAAGACAAAATATTTTACACACTCAATTAACACTAAAGAATTAAATTGGCCTCAACAAGGCTAACTCTATTCCAATCACCAATTATTATCCAGTGTAGTGGAAACAAAATATGGTTTTATTTAAATAGTTTAAATACCTCATTTTTGTCATCAGTTTCAATTTACTTTTACTAGAGATACTAATTTATCAGAATTTAAACTTTCTGAATTATATCCTCTCTAACACTTTTACTGTTTATCCTCTCTAGGGGCTGAAATCAAATTGGGACATGACTAAAGGAAAAGAAAAGAAAACAAGGTTTGTTTTTATATGTCATACAAAATAACTGTATGACCTTAGTTAAGTGACCTTCTCTGGGCACTCAGTTTCCTTATATGTTAATTGGAAATAATATCCAACTCACAGAGTGTCATAAGGATTAAATGACCTAATATAGCCAATCCTCAATAAATGGTAACTTTAATATATCAATTAGGCACTGTGAAATAAAGGATTTGTTCAATTGGATAAATTGGGGAAATTTGTCCCTCCAGTTATTTTTTGTCCCTCCCGTTATTTTTTTGTTTTGTTTTGTTTGTTTGTCCCTCCAGTTATTGATCTGTTTACTTGCTATGCAACCAGGATCAGCTACATAATTTGTGGGGCCCAGTGAAAAATGAAATTGTAGGACCCCTTATTGAAAATTCATTGAAAATTTCAAGATGGCAATAGCAGATCATTTAACCAAGTGTGGGGCCCTTTTAAGCACAGGGTCCCTGTGTTAGTGCAGAGGTCGCATGCCTATGAAACTGACTCTGTGTATTACACAGTAACAGGATGATTTCTATGATTAATTCACCCAGTTTTAGTCTTTTAAACGGAGATAAGTAATGTGAATAACCTATGGCTTTTTAAAGGGCTTTGAGGAGCGCCTGGCTGGCTCAGTTGGTGCAGCATGTGACTCTTGATCTCAGGGTTGTAAGTTCAAGCCCCACATTGGTTGTAGAGATTACTTAAAAAAAAAAAAATCTTAAAAAAACCCAAAAATTAAGAAAAGGGCTTTGAAAATATTAAGGATTTACAGAGAGAACATCTTTATTATTCATGGAGTCCATATTAGCAAAATTGCCTACTCATAAAAATTTGTTATCTCAAAATCAATACTTGTGGCATTTTCATGTCATTCCCAGAAATGCACAGAGTAGCAAAAATTTTAGTCTCCTTGTTGTGTGTATTCCCAGCTAAGGTCAAACAAGGGGACACTCTGCTTTCTTGCTTCAGCTCTCATACTATAAACAAGTGTCCTTTTCCTGATCTATTTAGTGTCATTATTTTTTAGGATGCCCCCCAAGTATAGTGCTAAAGTGCTGTCCAGGGCGCCTGGGTGGCTCAGTTGGTTAAGCGACTGCCTTCGGCCCAGGTCATGATCCCGGAGTCCCAGGATCGAGTCCCACATCGGGCTCCCTGCTCAGTAAGGGAACCTGCTTCCCCCTCTGACCCTCCCCCCTCTCATGTACTCTCTCTCTCTCTCATTCTCTCTCTCTCAAATAAATAAATAAATCTTTAATAAAAAATAAAATAAAGTGCTGTCCAGTGCTCCTAAGCAGCAAGAAGACTGTAATGTGCCTTATATGTGTTAGATAAGCTTTGTTCAGGCATGAGTTACAGTGCTGTTGGTTGGGTGAGTTCAATGTTAATGAATCAATAATATGTATTGAATAATGTTATATACATAAAATAAGGTTACGTATTGATTGGTTGACAAAAATGTTATGACCAGAGGCTCACAAGAACCTAACCCTGTATTTCCCCTAGGAGCAGTGGTTGAGTATTTGATAATTCAATGTTTGGGGCCACTTTATAGAACATAACTACTGCAATAACAAGAATCAACTGTGTACATATAGAAAATATGCTACTGTTTCTACAGGTACGTTATTATAAATTACCTTTAATGTGCAGCAACCCAAAGCCTATTTGCAATCCACTGGTTTGGATCAGCCTACTGAAGTGTTGCCCTGGTGATGGAACATTATGATCTAAGCCATTCCAATTTTGTTCTATTCATAGAACCCTAATTAAGAGAAATTTTGGAGTTAGACCATTTACTTACCAGCCATGTATCCTTGAATAAATCACTCAGTTTCTCTTAATATCAATTTCTTCATCTGAGATAAAGATATCTATTCCATTAAATTGTATGTTTGTGTATATGTGGTAGGAGGTAGGGAGGGAGTTGGAATTAAATGAGATATACATGTAAATTAAATGAGATATTACATTTTTACATTGTGCCTGGTATCAATTTATTACATGTACTGATATTTCTTGAACATGTACTCTGTGCCTGGTATTGTTCTGGGTACTAGGGACAAATGGGTACCTACCCCCAGGAAGCTTAGAGTTTAAAGGTTTAAGGTAGGTACTTAGTAAATCATAGCTATTTCTATTGATTTTATTAAAACTTCATATTTTACTTGGGAATTATTTTATTCATTTATCTTTTTTCTCAGAAGAGGAAGCCTCCCACAAAAACAAATCTTCAGAAATACATTTTAGAAATACAAAAGTCATAATTTCTTTCTCTCTTTACAAGAATTTGTGATAGAAGAAATAAGATTGGTATTGAAGAAAGTAGTTCACGATGCCAGAGAAATGAATTCCCTAAAGAACTATATGAAGGGTCAGCAAAAAAAGACCACCCAACTCTGATGAGACTGCAGTAAAACACACACACACACACACACACACACACACACACACACACACACACACACCTCTTGAGACTAATGCAGGGCGGCCCCTGAAGATGAGAAGGTATTTTGCCACTGTTGGTTTTTTTTGTGTTGGGCACAACCCTGGCACTTGAGGGCTTGGAGCTATATTCAAATCCTCTCTTCTTAGAGTGCAACCTGGAGAAAGATTTCTACATCTTTGGACTTCAGTGTCCTCAGCTGTGAAATGGGCTGATATCACTACAGAGCTATTGTGAGGATTAAATGAGATAACAGATAAAGGGACTTGTAAACCATAAAGTATATAAAGCAAATGTTGGGGAGGAAAAATTTTTCTCTACCCTCAAGCTTATTCTGGCTGGTCTAAGAATTAAATTGACAGGGACAGTTAACAGGAAAGAATCAAATTTAATTTATACATACGAGGTCCTCCAGATATGACTAAGGCAGGCAGCTTTTTTTTCAAACAAAGAAACAATAAATTGGAATTGGCAGGATAAAGAAAACTTATGTTTGGGAACTTCAACTAGTAAGGAATTCTAAACAATTTGGATGGGGGTAGTCAGTTAGTAAAAGTAACAAGGTTTGTTTATATAGGCTTCTTCACCCTAAATTTTCTCTATGATGATAAGGATGTCTCTCTACCTCCTGATACAGGGTACCATGCACATGGAAGGTTAATTTCTTGCTTTCTGGAGACAAAGGAGGGTCAGTGTGTCCTTTTTGCACTGGCTTTTTCTTCTTTTTTTTTTTTTTTAAGATTTTATTTATTTGACGGAGAGAGACACAGCGAGAGAGGGAACACAAGCAGGGAGAGTGGGAGAGGGAGAAGCAGTCTTCCCGCCGAGCGGGGAGCCCGATGCGGGGCTCAATCCCAGGACCCTGGGATCATGACCTGAGCCGAAGGCAGACGCTTAACGACTGAGCCACCCAGGCGCCCTGCACTGGCTATTTCTTAAGTAACTTTAATTCAAAATAATCAAGATGCCAACATAGCATATTTTGGGGTCACCTACCCTGAGCCCCAATACAAGCATTATGAGTTTTTCTAAAATGTACATTGATTAGATTAGATTAATAATTCAGAAAGGTATGTGTGTGTTGTATCCAACAGTAATTCCCCATCATTATTTTACAATGCAATTATTTGTCACATAAGAAAGCCAGTTTGAATAATTCTTAAGCCAACAATTCAAAGGTTACTCTCCCAGTGAAGATTTCAGGCTACATTCTAAGGTAGCCTATCCCCATTTTCCTGGATTTGCTCTGGTTTGCTCTCATGAGTTTAGGGTAGGCCACCACAGGATGTGATGCTTTAGCGTGAGCATTATTTGAGCCCCAAACAATCAGTGCAGTAAGCATGAGGGCATACCCAACGCTATAGGGTCTAACTGGCATGAGAAATATACTATAGGTGGTACCTGAGAGGCAAGATTGTCATAGAATGCTTGTAGCAATGCCATTCTTTTCAGGGCAGTATAGATGTAAAGTTTTGTTAAAATTAGGTAGGCCTAGAGCTGGGGGTGTTGACAATATTAATTTCCAGGCTTTAAAGGATGGTAATGTCTCTGAAGGACAGGAAATGGGTTGGGGGCAGGGGGTCTCTGGGAGAAGAGCATACAGAGGTTTAACAAAGTCTACAAAATCAGGAATCCATTGGCTGCAATAGTCAGCTGCCCCCCCCCAAATTTACAGAATAACCACTTACTTGTTTTGGGGAGAGGGGTGAACAAAATTGACTCAAGGTGTTTTGGAGTCAACAGCTTTTGAATGCCCTGAGATATCTCAAGTCCTAAGTAATTAACAGTTGTTTGCACCCATTGAAGTTTAAATCTGGAGGCTTGATGGCCTCATTCAGCCAGTGCCTTTAGGAGGATGAGGGAGTCTATAAGAGCTCCCTGCTTAGTTTGATTCCCCCCTGATTAGAATCAGAGGTGACAGGTAGAGATAAATCCTCTGAGCAGATGGTAGAGAAAGTCACATGAGTGTCAATTTAGAAATCCAATTCCTGATCCTCTGTTTTAAGGTTAATGGTGGGCTTTGGGGTGTGACTGATGCCTGGCTGACACTGTCATTTAAGGGGGAATTGTCTTTCAGGAGAAAAACAAATTTTCTCAGGATGATGGGGTTTAGGGAAATTGCTTCTTAAACTTTACTTTTTCTTAAGTACAGGACAATTTCTCTTCCAGTGACCTGCATTCTTGCAATATCTGTGATTGCCTGGGGGCAAATAGGAAGAGCTCTGAATGGGCCTTGAATTACTCTCAGTCATGCTTTCACCTTTCCAAAGACTCAAGTTGCAAAGCAAGAATTGCTGCTTTGAGTTATTTTTTCCTCCTGCTTTCCTGCAAGCTCTTTTCAAAATAAGTAGCTGCCTCCATTATTATGCTTAGTGGTTGCCCTGACCAACTGACCAAGTGGATTTGTTATTTAATATCAGGGAGAAAATTTCCTACTAAAGCAGAAATTAAAAGATTCCTATGTTCCAGGGCTTCTGGATTTAACAGTTTGCCTTTGAAAAGTTTGTATAAAACATTCAACAGAGGCTTTTATGTGCTCTTCTTTCTAAGTACATCGTTCAACCTCAGACCAATTTACTTTGAGGGGGAACACCTCTAATATAGCTCCTATATTGAGGCCTTGGATATCAGCCTCCAGCTGAGCCGTTTCTGGGTCAGCCTGGGAAAGGCTCAGGTCATCTGTTTCCTCTCTGAGGGGGTTTTCTCCAGGGACCATCTAGCTTGTCTCCTAACCATCCTATAATGATGGGTAGGAAGAACACCCCTTCATAGCCAGTCTAGGTCCCTGGGAGTGGGGTTGTAAATAACCACTAATCTTTCTAATTCGTCTCTAAATTTGGTAGGATCCTCCTGATGTGGAGAACAAAGGCAAAAGAACAAAATTAAATTTACTTACAACTTACAGTCCATTGACAAGTCCTTGATACAGGCAGAGTGACATTCCTCTAGGAATTCAACTGCCTCGATGTTAATACTTTGATATGGGCAAAAGGCAACCTTTGCTTAACATTAACTCCAGGATCCTATAAGTCTTCTTTAACATACAAAAATCCCTCTGGAAACCTCCTTTATCTCTACTCACCACCCCAAGATATATGTTAGTGATCATCCTCCAAGGATGTGGCCCGCTGATATACATCTGAAGGGTCTCATGACTAAGGTTTTACTAGACAGTAGTAAATGACCTTTTCCTAACAACAGCTAGCCCCTCAACGTGCTGGAAACCTTGCTTCCAAATTCCTTAGAGACTTAAGCTATCCCTAACGCCCTCCCAACTTGAAAGTATATAATCAGCCACTCCTCATGACCCCAGTGCAGCTCTTTCTGCCTGCGGGTCCTATTCCTGTGCTTTACTAAAACCACCCTTTTTGCACAAAAGACACCTCAAGAATTCTTTCATGACTGTTCACTCCCGAACCCCAACATTTTCACATCACTCCAATAGCAGAGGTAAAGGGATTTTATAATTTAAAAGATCTGCTGCTGTCCTGGGGACATGAATTCTTTGCCCTAGGGGTCCAGGATACATCCACAAAGGACTTGGCACAGGAATGCCTGAAAATGGCAGAGGTTGATGACAGAGCCCTGGAAAGTAGGAGGAATTGAATTATAAGGGGTAGCAAAGCAAGCCTGGTTGCTCTTCCTGGGCACTTTTGCTAAATTCACTTCCTGACATTCAGTATTTACATAAGCAAACTGTATTCCCTGGGCCTGGAGATCAGGCAGAAGTGCTCTCTGCAAATCTCATGAAGAAAAGGAAATTATAACAGGCAGCTGGTTGTTAGAGGGTATTTTTTCTGGGGAAGGTGGAGTTTCGGGATTTAGGAAATTGGCTGAGGTGGGGCTGGGTTTTGAGAAAGGGAGTTTAGACCAGGGGCCCAGATCCAAAATATCTAGAGGGTCAGGGACAGGGAGTGGGGGATAAAGGAGAGCAAATGGGGGATTTATGTCAGATTTGTTTAATTTCTGTTCTGACTTTTGTTCTTTCATTTTATTGATTCCCTGAGGCTAGCTGTTAAAATTTTATTGTGTTTTCCTTTAAATTTGATCGTCCCATAAATACCAGAAGGGCAGCTGCTTGGAATGAGAGTTCTCTAAAAAATTTTCCAAATATAGAAGTTTTTCCAACTCAGAAGACCCATCTTCTGGCCAGTAACGAGTAGGATCTCCATTAGTATATTTATTCCAATAGTGACACAATCCAATAAGCCTTTTTAAGGGAAGGCCTGGAGCTCATTTCCAAAGCTTAGAATAAATCTTTACCATGACCCAAGAGGTGTCCCTGCAGTGACTGTGGACAGTATAGCCCCCGTGATCCAAAACTTCACTCCCAAAAATAAACTATGATAGCAAAGGCCTTCGCTGTTGCACAGGCAATAAGGGTGGTGTCGTGAAAACAGTGTCTCTGGTCTCCCACAGGAACGTGAAACACCTCCAGTCACAGATCACTAATCTGTGACGTGAGCAGGTGCTACTGAAATGGGACTTTTCCAGCACTAACAAGCAGCAAAGTTTGAGATAACAAATGCCCAGTACATTCTGGGACCCGTTTTGACAAACTCCTCTGATTGCTGACACAGCCAGCCCAAGAGCATGTCTTGGAACCCCACTCTATTCAACTGGCTACCAGGTACACCCCAGTAAGTGCACCCTCCAGATGGTGAAGACCAGAGAGCGTTCATAAAAATAAGCAACAGAGGCCTTTACTTTCATAGTCTGTCTTTGGAAATGAACTCTCTAGATCTTGTGAGGGTGGCATATTTTACACTCTCTTGTGGGATGCCTCTTGTATCCTTGGTTAAGCCGTAAGAAGGCTTAGGTTTGACTCACTATTGAGATGAATACATCCTACTCATCAATGGCCAGACAATGGATCTTCTGAATCAGAGAAACTTCAATGTTTGCAAAATTTAACAGGGCTCTCATCCTAAAGAATTGTCTTAATGGCATCTATGTAAAGCCAAATTCAAAAGTGGATACAAAAGAATGTAACAGCCTTTTACCAAAGGAATCCTTGGAAACCTTTTTCCAAGATGAAAAAAACAGAAATTAGAACAAAAATTAAAGCTCCACATGTAACATAAATTCCTCCTTCTTAATGATGTGGGAGCAGAAGGCAAGCTGAGGACAAAGCAGAAGCTGACACCCCACAACCCCCCGCCATGGGATATGGATGACATTCTTCAGACACTCCTGGCTGCCCTAAAGTTAAGGAACGGAAAAACGAATAGTTAATTCATAGAGATCACAATCCTGCAAGACAGGAGTCTCCCTCAGTTTACAAATGTATTAGCAATCTACAAGAACAAAGTATTTCTATCAATAATGTAGCTTCCTGGGTGCCTGGGTGGCTCAGTTGGTTAAGCGACTGCCTTCGGCTCAGGTCATGATCCTGGAGTCCTGGGATCGAGTCCCGCATCGGGCTCCCTGCTCAGCAGGGGGTCTGCTTCTCCCTCTGACCCTCTTCCCTCTCGTGCTATCTCTCATTCTCTCTCTCTCAAATAAAAATAAATAAAATCTTAAAAAAAGATTAAAAAAAAACTTAAAAAAAAAATAATGTAGCTTCCAGAAGGAAATGTAGATACAATTTAATGTCCTTAAAAAGGTGTGCCAGAAGATGGTGCATTTAATTGTTTGGATCTTGATGATGGGATTTTGGAATATACGTGAGGTTTGGTGGGGTGGAGTCCGGAGCCGATGACCAAGAAAGAATTCTTGAGACATCTTTGGTGCAAAAAGGTGGTTTTATTAAAGCATGGGGACAGGACCCGTGGGCAGAAAGAGCTGCTGCCCCGGGGTTGTGAGGGCTGACCCTGAAATAAAAGGTTGCTTTCAATTCCAGAGGTCACCCCTTTAGCTATGGCCTGGGAGATACAAATGAGAATGTTATCCTTCCAGGCCAATGCCAGAGTCAAGGAAAGGAAAAGGAGAAAGGGTTTCATGTTTAGTTCAGGTGTGAAGTCTTGACCTGTTGTCTTGGGCAGAAGCAGTTTACCTCAGTGCCAGCTACTTCCTTCCTTGCCAGTGTGATCTGGAGATCCCCAGCATCTGTAGAGGGGTCGGGTTGGGAGCCCTTCTTCAGCCGTGAAGTGTGTACCCAAGGCTCAATGCCTTCTACTTTTGCAGCAGTGTTGATCACCAGAAGCACTTGCTAAAGTCCCTTTCAATGGGGCTCAAGGGCTGTCTTTCTCTGATAACATTTTCAGAACACCTAATCATCAGGCTCTAAACTGGGACCAACAGAATCTTTTGAATTGGAATCTGGGGTGCCCCTTTTATTTTAAAAGATTTTAGGGGCACCTGGATGGCTCAGTTGTTAAGCGTCTGCCTTCGGCTTGGGCCATGATCCCAGGGTCTTGGGATCGAGCCCCACATCGGGCTCCCTGCTTTATTTATTATAATAAATAATTTATTTGACAGAGAGAGACACAGCAAGAGAGGGAACACAAGCAGGGGGAGTGGGAGAGGGAGAAGCAGGCTTCCCATGGAGCAGGGAGCCCAATGTGGGGCTCGACCCCGGGATCATGAGCCAAAGGCAGATGCTTAATGACTGAGCCACCCAAGCGCCCCCAGGGAGCCTTCTTTAACCCGTGGATGATAGACATTAGAGACTTACAGTAGCTGGTCATGCTTTCATGAGACAACCAAGGTCAGCAGAAAGTAGTATACTGGTAGAATTTTAGGAAGTTTGTAAGGTTTTTATTAAGGCTCATGTGATTTGCCTGGTGAAGTGCCCCAATCACCAGAGATTATAGAAGGTGTACCCCAAGTGGGAAGTACATTTTTTTTACACATTCTTTTTTTTTTTTTTACCCATTGTAAAGTCACCTGACTTGCCATGGGAAACCCATATGGAAAAACATACAAACAGTAACAGGAACATATTGATCACCCATATGAAGTGGCAGTTGAATGAAGTCCAGCCGTAGGTGTTCAAAGGGTCCAAAGGGAAGTCGTCTTGTCTGAGGCTGCTGGAGACAAAAACAATTTTTTTAGGATTATGCACCTGACAAGTCAGATATTGCTTGTGGACTGTTCTTGCACTATTATAAAAGTCTCCTCACCAATGTCTATTTATAACTTGAGTCATCTTAAATTCCTTATGCTGGGTAAAGGAATGCAAAACCCAAAAAATGGGACTTGCCAGGGACCTGGGGAAAACCGAGCAGCTGTCTTGGTTTTCCCATATCCCTGACTGTTTAATTTACAGCCATTGTTCAATTTCTCAGATTCAGGATTGGACTATTGCTATGTTACAAGGGTACCGGGATAGCAAACGTCTGGTAGTGAGGGGCCATTGTTTGTAGAAGCAGAATGGGCTTTCACATGTGCCCAAATCTTACAAATACAACATAAAGAAAACTTAGTATTACTTCTTATTTGGCAATGCTTCCTATATATTTTAACATATCAAATGAGCCTACTTAGTTTAGCAAATCTTTTGGAATATTCCAGGTTAAAAAGACTTAAGCAGACCAAAAGTCTAAACAAACAAACCAACAAAAAATACCCTTTGTCCTTTTAACAGAGAGGAAAACAAATTTTGATTTTGTACCAACTTACTTTTGATATTAAAACATACTCATTTTCATCTTAGTCCTGACCACCCATAAAATTCCTTTCCAACGATTCCTTTTTCACAAATCTTTTGCAACTTCATTTTTTACGTTTGGATTTTGTCCTGAGGTTTCCATCTTTAAATAACCAGCCTCACTTTAGGACAGGATTACTTTCTTCTCTCTCAACTAAAATGTATTCCCATCCCTCTTACTTATTTTAACCAAAAATACACATCTTACTTCTTTTGCATGGAGTGTTGTTTCCCTTACTAGAATTTTTTGGCTCTTAGAAACCTTAATTTCGGGCGCCTGGGTGGCTCAGTTGGTTAGGCAGCTGCCTTGGCTCAGGTCATGATCCTGGAGTCCCAGGATTAAGTCCCACCTCGGGCTCCCTGCTCAGTGGGGAGTCTGCCTCTCCTTCTGACCCTCTCCCCTCTCATGCTCTCTCTCGCTCTCTCTCTCTCAAATAAATAAGTAGAATCTTAAAAAAAAAAGAAACCCTTAATTTCTAGTGAAAGCTATTAAATAAGCAATGATGAACTCTGTTACACCAGTATTTTTTTTTAAGTTGGTATACTGATGAATATATTTCACAATTTTTAGAAATGTACTTTTTCATAGTACAATCTTTTTCTTTTTGAAGATTTGATTTTTAAGTAATCTCTACCCCCAACATGGGGCTCAAACTCACAACCCTAAGATCAAGAGTCGCATGTTCTCTCCCAACTGAGCCAGTCAGCCACCCCCCATCATATAATATTTAATAAATCCCAAGCATGTTTACTAACAGACCCAAACATATCTTTAGTTTCTCTGTAATAAGGAAGCCAAAAAGCAAATAAATCTATGTCCAGTAATTGACATTTCAGTATTTTATATTATTTAGAAATGATCTAGATATTTAATGAATTTAACTTAATTTATCATTTAACATAACTCAGCAAAACTTTAGGGTTTTAGGTTACCAAAAAGATTTGGGAGACTACTTAAAAGTTTACCTAAAATTTTATTTTATTTTATTTTATTTACACCTATTTAATTTACTTGTTTTTAATAATTATGTTTAGATTACCCCCAAAAAACTTCATGAGACATCAAGGTCAGTTAATTCTCCCAAGCTGGGTTTTTCTTTTCTTCTTCTTTTTTTTTTCTTCAACATTTTATTTTTTATTTATTTTTTAAGATTTTTTAAATTTATTTTTGAGAGAGAGAGAGAGCATGTGGGAGCACAAGCCGGGGTTGGGGTGGGGAGGGACAGAGGGAGAAGCAGACTCCCCAGCTGAGCAGGGAGCCCCATATGGGACTCAATCCTAGGACCCTGGGATCATGACCTGAGCTGAAGTCATACGCTTAAACAACTGAGACACCCAGATGCCCCCCCCTTTTTTTTTTACATTTTATAACAGAGATCACATCAACTTATTTGACTTTTTGTAAACCCAGGCAGAATTAAAGTTTTAATTTTAATGCTGTTAACTCTAAAGACACACCTATTTCAATTAAACCAACAACCCAAACCAGTATTTTTCCAGATCACGAGAACTTGAAAAAAACACATTTTGGTTAGTTTTTATCTTTCTGAGAGTTTTAGATGTCCAGTCCTTACAAGCACTTGCCTGGGCAAATTAATTTTAGCAGCACCATCTGGAGGTAGAACAGTAGCTCCCATTTACTACATATATGCAGACAGAGAGACATACACACAGATAGTTGCAAAGACCCTACAGTGGAGGATCTTTGTGGAGAAAATTTTTAAGATTTCTATGTGTCCCTTGAATTAATCTTAAGGAGACTCTACTGGAGTTTGGGCACAAGGGTCCTTTCAGCAGTTTGTATGTGAAAAGGGGTTCTTTCCCTGTTTTCTCTTTCAGTCTCAGGCAATTGTGAGCTGTGTTTGTGTTTTAAATACGTGATAAGATGTATGACTCTAAGCGACAGAGAAAGAATGCAAGGTTTTTTGTTTTTGTTTTTGTTTTTTGAAGGATTTTGGTTTCCTAAAGCCAATAGTTTAAAGTCATGTAATAGGGGAAGTTTTGGGATTGGTAAAAGAATAGGTGAACTTTGAATTGCCTTTAGAGTTGCATTTCTAGTTTTGTAATCTACTCAACTACATTGTCTTCAATTTACTTTTTCCCTTTGCGTACATGGTTTTAACTTTAGATATTTTTGGCAGTATTGAATAACTCCCCTTTGGTGTAAGAGGGGTCCTCAGACAGGATGCAAAGGATATTTATTACTTTCCCCAAATCCAGAGTTGCTCCCAATGAGAGCCAAAAGAGAGAATCAGCAACCTGCATGTCCCAGGCAGGCGGAAAGCCAGGCCCCGTTGTGAAAATGAGTCAAGCAAGAAGACAGTAGCTTTCCCTGGGAGAGAAAGGATCAGTAGTCAGTAGGTCTGGATTTGGAAAGGAAGGGACAATGGAAATGTTATTGTCTTCTCTTGACTGTGCACCACAGACAGAGATTCGGAAGAGCTGATTCTGATAAGGAATTTCGCCCTTTGCGGGCTTCTGCCAGTTTTTCTGGGATCCCCTCTGCAGGTATTTACCAGTTTCTCTTTGGCTGTTTAAGGAAATAACATAGCAGTGTTCCAGAAAATTCCTTAGTTTTGACAACTCTAGGAGGGACCCATATAGGGACTCTACTTTGAAGGGAGATATGGGGGTGTCTGTAAGGCCATTCACTTGGTAGACTTTTGTTCATGGTTGTGTAGTCTGTTTAGAGATAGAAAAACAATTAAGCAGAGAATTAGTAGAATGAGCACTCCAAAGAGGAAAAGAGAGAAGCAGTAGGAGTTACATCAGTCTTACGGTGTTTTAAGTACCATTACAGCTTTAATTTTTCATTAGCCTTTTGCACTGAGAGTCATTTGATGAAACTACTTTGGAATTTTGAAAACCTTTTGGAGGCTTCTGCTTGCCAATTAAAACAGGTGTCCCATTCTGCTTAATTTGGGAACCTTTTCAAGTGCACTTCTTAAATGATTGTAGCTAATTGGAACCTTCCCCATCCTGGTTATTGTTCTTCTCTGTTGTAATTCTCCTAAGGGCTGGCAGCACTTTGGCAGGACCTTGGCCGCAAATGGAGTTAACCAACATTTTTGTCCACGCTTATTTTGGGGTCTTCAACCTGATGGTTACTGACCGAAGTTCCTCAGGACACAAAACCAGCTTAGTAAGATTTGCTGTTTTTGCTACACATCTACGACTTCCCGGACTATAGCTCTTAGACATAAAATGTGCTGAAAGGTGGCACACTTGACTCTAGGATTTAAGGATCCCATTAGCTAAGCCTTTGGGTTTCTTAGAGCCAAAGTAATACTTAAAAGGAACATGCCACTGGATTGGGGGTTGTGTTTGACAGTGTACCTCATTGCATTGAAATTTTCTTGAGGTTGGCAGGTGACCCAGTGTCAATCTAACCCACTCTGTGACCCACTTATCCTATCACAGGAGTCTTCTTGAGGTGGCCAGAGCTCCAGCAGCCTTTAAATGCTTGACCCATGCCCACCGATTTTTGTGGCTTTTTGGCCTCTGAGATCCCCTCTAGCAGTAGCCTTTATCTCCATAAAACAAGACAAACAAACATGTGCACCTTAAAGTATTGGCAGTTACCAAGAGATGTTACTTCATCTTGACGACAAGAAGGCCCTGTGCGCATACCATCAATTCCCATGGAACCTTGGTGAGGTTTTTCCCCCCAGGGGATCTATGGTCTGAAAGGTCTAGGGCCTTGGCTCTGGGCAGAACTTTCTGCCAGCTCAGTCAGGCTTCCAAGCAAAACTGCCAGCCCTCGTGAGCTCTAGGCAGAACTGACAGCTCAGAACCAAGAGGAACTCACCTATAGCCCTTGGAAATGTGAGAAAGAGAGTGAACTCAAAGTTTTTGTGGGTACCGCACCTGTATTTCTTGTTGTCCCCAAATGCTGCCAGAAGTTCACTTTGGATCCCATCACTGCCACCAAATCTGTTAATTAACAAAAATTCAACTGAGGAAATTTTTGAAGGTGTAATTGGCTTTATTTAATCAATTCATGAATCAGGCAGCATCCCATCTAGCAAGTAGAGGGGAGCTCCAAAGGGCTGCAGAAAAGGAAAAAGGTTTTTAAGGGGAGAGAGGAAGTGGGTAAAAAGGAAATTATTAGCAAAGAATCCATTGTTTTAGGAAAGGTCACCCTCCTAAGTAAACTTCCTAGTGCTGACCAGGAAATTCCCTTTTTTTTTTTTTTAAAGATTTTATTTATTTATTTGACAGAGAGAGAGAGATACACAGCGAGGGAGGGAACACAAGAAGGGGGAGTAGGAGAGGGAGATGCAGGCTTCCCACGGAGCAGGGAGCCCGATGCGGGGCTCGATCCCAGGACCCTGAGATCATGACCTGAGCCGAAGGCAGACGCTTAACGACTGAGCCACCCAGGCGCCCCAGGAAATTCCCATGTTGACTGGTTAAAAATTCTGGGGGGTTAAAGAAACTGCAGTCAGGTTAGGTATTAAGCCTTGGTTTACTGACATGGGGCCTTAACCTACATAACACCATTTTGGGCCTGTGGTTTTCTTTTTACCAATCCAGAGAAATAAAGCAAATTGGAGCTAATGTAACTGGGTGGGCAGATCAACCCCTTGTTATTCCTTGGGGGAAAAACTGGACAGCAATTATCCTTATATTACAAATCTTTACTAAATTAAAAAATGCAGCTCTAGAGGCAATGCAAAGTCCATCTATTCCTTTTTACCAGTCCTAAAACTTCCCCTATTTTCTCATAAGGCTTGTAAAATTATTGGCCTTAAAAAACCAAAGTCCTTCTTGGAGGAACTTACATTTTTTCTCTGTCCTTTCAAGATATGAATCTTACCTTGTATTTGAAATATAAACACCCCGGGAGGTATCTAAAACAATGCCAACCCTCAGACTACATGGGGGACCGGGTTAGGGACCTTTTAAAAAATACAAAGTGCTCCACAGCTTCTATAAGATTACTTGTCAAGGACGAATATAAATCATGTGCCTTCTCCACAAATATTATGAGTAAAAAGCTGTAGCTATCCAAGCAGATAAACTTAACTTACAAACTAGTGAGTTTTTATATTGTTATACCTGATTCATAGCTAAAATTTTAAAATGGAAAGCTATAAAAACCTCTGCTTTATAAATTATAAATATGGTATTTTTCTACCTCCTGATAGTATTACCAAAATTAATTTGTAAGAGAGCTCTATTTAATTGGCCTAAAATTAAGCATTTCTAAATCTCAAAAATATAATAGAAAGTAACCTGTTTTTCAAGTTCCTGTGATCTAGGAAAATTTTCAGTAAATAAAAGCTAAGTTTAAATTTGTTGGTTTAATTAATATAAGAAATACAGACAGCCAACAGACACATGAAAAGATGTTCAACATCACTCATCATCAGGGACGTGCAAATCAAAACTACAATGAGATATTACCTCACCCTATCATAATGGCTTAAATCAAAAACATAAGAAACAACACGTGCTGGTGAGGATCTGGAGAAAAAGGACCCTTCATGCACTGTTGGTGGGAATGTAAACTGATGCAGCCACTGTGGAAACAGTATGGAAGTTTGTCAAAAAATTAAAAATAGAACTACCATATGATCCAGGAATCACACTACTGGGTATTTACCCAAAGAAAATGAAAATGCTAATTTGAAAAGATATATGCACTCCTATGTTTGTTGCAATATTATTTACAACAGCTAAGATGGAAGCAACCCAAGTGTCCTGCCATAGATGAACGGATAAAGAAGATGTGATATATATGTAATATATACAATGGAATATTATATAACACACAATATATGCAATGGAATATTACTCAGCCATACAAAGAATGAAATCTTCCCGTTTGCAATGACATGGATGGACCTAGAGGATATAACACTAAGTGGAATAAAGTCAGTCAGACAAAGACAAATATCAGATGATTTCACTCATATGTGGAAGTTATGAAAGAAAACAAATGAACAAACAGAAAAAAAGAGACAAACAAACCACAGACTCTTTTTTTACGGTTTTATTAATTTATTACTATTATTTTTTAAAGATTTTATTTATTTATTTGACAGAGAGAGACACAGCAAGAGAGGGAACACAAGCAGGGGAAGTGGGAGAGGGAGAAGCAGGCTTCCCGCTGAGCAGGGAGCCCGATGCGGTGCTCCATCCCGGGACCCTGGGACCATGACCTGAGCCGAAGGCAGATGCTTAACGACTGAGCCACCCAGGTGCCCCAAAACCACAGACTCTTTTTTTTTTTTTTTTAAGATTTTATTTATTTATTTGAGATAGAGAGCACGAGAGGGAAGAGGGTCAGAGGGAGAAGCAGGCTCCCTGCTCTGCGGGACTCAATCCCGGGACTCCAGGATCATGACCTGAGCCGAAGGCAGTCGATTAACCAACTGAGCCACCCAGGCGCCCCACAGACTCTTAAATACAGAAAACTGATGGTTACCAGAGGGGAGGGGGTGGGGTGGGGTGGGGTGGGGTGGGGTGGGATGGGTGAGACAGGTGAAGGGGATTAAGAGCACACTTATTGTGATGAGCACTGAGTAATGTATACAATTGTCAACTCACTATATTGTACACCTGAAACTAATGTAACATTGTATGTTAATGACACTTCAATTAAAAAAGAGGAAAAAAGTGTGATGCAGATGCTGAAAAAAATATATAGACATGTCTTTAGAGTTATTGGCATAAAGTATGATACTTTTCCACTTTGGTTTACTAAAAGTCAAACAAGCTCATGTTATCTTTGTTACCAAATGTGCCAGCAAAAAGTAACTTAAGATGATGGCTAACTGCTTTAATGTCTCGTGAAATTTTCATAAGCAAGCTAAGTCTGATTATTAATAAATGAATTAAATAGATGTAAATATCCATAAAACTAGGTAAGTTTCTGAAACTAATGAAAAGACTGAATTCAAGCAGACCAAGAATTATATGGGACGAAATGAACTGATGAGGACGATTATAATTTTTATGACTTTTTATTTAAAATATAGTTGGTTCTTTAATCTTCTGTTTTCCAGATAGAAGGAAGCCTTTCCTCTTAAGCTAACTATGACTTACAGCAATTTGGTAAATTACACCTTTGTAAGCAGAATTGAAATATCTTTTTCTCCCTACCTGATCTCTCCAGAATTCAGAAACACTCAGTGAATATTCTTATATTCTATGGCAATATAGTTATTTGCCCAAGTTCAATAAGAATCTGTTCTCCTTGTAACAGGACACAATTGGAAGCTGGTTATATTACAGAGGCTTTGCCTGGAATGTCATATTTAAAAGAGGCATGCATAGACTCAGGTATAGCTTTAAGGAACTAAGGTTGACTTTATGGAGTCAATTAAACCCCTTGGAAATATCACCTTGGTACCTTGCTCACAGAGTTCCCAGCAGCTTTATCAGATGAGTAAGGAAGGTCACTTCCTGGCAGGTGCAAGTACCTCAGGATTTTTGGGAGACACCAAAAGAGAGGAATTAACCCAAATCTATAGGTATTACAAGACTCATGGCAAGTATTTGGTTTGACCTCTTCACCTTGAGAAGTTAAGAGTTCAACCTGGAGATGCCTTATGAAAAGTTCCAGGAAGCAAATTTAAAGGAGCGTAAATGATCAGTTGCTATTCTTGCTAGTCTTTATGTAAATAATCAGGCCAAGTTTATTCAAAGTAGACTTATTTTGCAAACAGATTAGTCTTAATTTGGCTATCTTTGGTAGAAACGACAGTATTTATAAATAGAAAAATTACGTTTCAATAACACACCTTTGTGGATATTAGAAGCTAATACTATTCATCACAAACTGGACTGGAGCCTAAAGTCTTCTAGCTACAAATCTCCAAATTCCTATTTCCAATTTTTCCCCTACTATCCTGTCTTAGGATCATTAAGAGCTAAAACTGTGCTTTTCCCAAAGCCATGCAAACTAAATTTGGACAACCTGATACATGAACTTCAGGGGAATTACAATAGCTCATGTATGGACCATCCTTGTTGCCTGTTGCTGTGGGGGCCACTCAGAAAAATTACCAGAGACATTCAACCTGCAAACTAGGAAAGTATCAGATGATCCATGGCTGCCTTCACTCCATCTCGAAATGCGTAAGCCTGACATCTAGAAATCTTCTCAACTGGTTACCCTCAGAACTCAGAAACTGGTTTAAAATGTACTCTAATCATTAACCCATTAACTGTTGTTTTTCTTTGTTCCCACAGAAATGCCTCTTATTCAATACCTGATTATTTGCATAATACAGGCCTAACTTTGGGAGTCTATCTGCAAAATGACCTACTGAAAGGAATTTACTGAACTGACCTATTGTTAGGACCAAGAACCTAGTTCGATGAGATGAAACAATCTACCAGTTCGACTTCTGGACGATGAACCTTCTTGGGGAAATTTCAAAGGCAGGACTGTAGGGAAGTGAAATCTGCCACCCCAAAATGTGTCTCTTTAGCTCAACAAGGAGGAATTTGTAATCATGGGTGAAAAATGTCACTTCTATGTCTAACTTCAACCTGTTAAAAGAAAAGATTAGTAATTTTCATCAGATAAATTAAATTTACCCACTATATGGGACTGACCTATTCCCAGGAGTAGGAGACTGGTCTAACGGGGTGTGGGGTAATGGGCTTCAATTTGTTCTTTTCTGTTTGTTTATCCTCATTCTATTTGTTGTTTTCTCCCTTTATGGATCTCTTGCCACTCAGCTACTAACTTTCCACACCCACCAGCTCAGCTTTCAATATGTGAAACTTACTGAGAAAGCCTCAGAGGAAGAAACTGTTGAGGTTTAGGGCAGGCCACCCAGGATGTGCTGCTTTGGCATGCGGATTATTTTGAAATCAAGGCCCAAAAGGCACAGGAAGAACCTTTGACCTTCCCCCTGTCAACCTCACAAATAAAATAGTCAGTTACTTTATTTGGGAATGGCAGAGGAATTGCAATTCAGGACAAGCAAGCTATGGTGAGCCACAGGCAAGTCCAAAGAGACAAAGGGAAGGTTAGCTTTTATTAAGTTTTAGAAGGAAATTGGGGAGGGTTATTTTGAACAAAAGTTCATTGGAGAAGAACAAGAGTTTGGGGTTGTGGAGGGCTCTCATTGGCTGTAAACAGTGACTAACGCATTGTTGCTGGGGCACAGAGGGCTCTTTCTTATTTTTCTTAAGAGCAGGAGATAAATACCTAGGTAGAAAATGTCCTCCCTTGTCAAGATAATTCTTATCTTCTTTTTCCCTACTGGTTATTCAGGCTGCAAGGATGTGTGAGAGCTCCCCACCCTTCCCCCACCCCCATCAGGGCTTTGAGACTCCATTTGAAATGAGGTTTCCTTTACTCATTTTCACACCCCTAACTTTCTAAAAGAATTGAGATAGAGGACCTGCTCCACAGACAACTACATGATAATATGGACTAGGTGTGGTAGGAAGGGAGGAACCAAGCCAAGATTGTTAAAATTCCTGTGTCCCAGTGTTTCTGTATGGCCCAGAAAACATCTGTTCACCAGACATTTGCTCTGTTTCATCTTCCTGTGAATTACTTCCTTTCTTTTGAATTACTAAACCCATACCCCTTCTCCTTAATTTGGGATGACATATATACTTCATTTTGCCTGACTGTCTTTGGAATGTCTTATGTTTATGTGGATTCCCCATGTGTACATTAATTAACTTTGTTTTCTCCTGTTAATCTGTCTTACATTGTTTTAATATTTTAACATTTTTAACTAAGAGGGTAAGGGGAAATTTTCCGCTCCCCGATAGCTACTCACTTCAAACCTCACCAAGGTCTTACTTCATTCCTACTCTAAGGTTATAAGATACAACACCAGGCATGCACAATCATGGCCAAATATGTAAACTTGAATTTAAAGTGTGTTTAGGAGGGAGAGGGAAGATGGTGAAAGAATAGGGAACCTGTACTTCATCTGGTCCCTTGAATTCAGCTAGTTATCTATCCACTCATTCTGAACACCTGTGAACTCAACTGGCGATCTAAGAAAAGAATGGCTGCAATTCTACAAATAGAAAAGAGACCGCTTTTTGCAAGGTAGGAGGTGCGGAGATGTGAATCTGAGGGGAAGATAAACGACGGAGGGGATGGAGCCTCCAGAAGCCGGCTACCGGAAAGTGATACAGCCCCGGAGTGCAAAATCGGAACTTTTAGAGGTCTGCTTCTGTGAGGGACGTCCCTGCCTGAAAGGTGCTCAGGTGGCAAATTGGGCAGAATCCTAGGTGGGACAGTGTGGTCTCAGGATCCCCGGGGTCACAGAAGGACCAGGGGTGCCTGAGTGTGGCAGAGCTCCCAAGCATTAGAGTGGGGAAACTGGCTACAATTAGTGAGCCCCTGAGTGGCCTCTCAGCTGGATGTGGCCATAAACTGGGAGTGCGGCATGACTGTGCAACTGCTCTCCAAGCAGAGGTCCAGCAAGCGACAACCCCTGGGAGACCCTGCTCCTTCCCCCAGGGGAGCGGCGGCGCAGGTGCGTGCAGGATCCGGCAACAGCTTCCCGAGTAGGGGCCTAGCCAGCCGTAGGGCCCCGGTGAGACCCTGCTCCCCTCCCTGGGAGCATTGATGCAGGGTGCACCGCAGGAGTCTGCGGGGTTTGGCGCACATGAAAGGGACTGACTGCCTTTCCCGGAGGGTGTACTGAAGAGTGGGAGCCACGACTGTCTAGCTCTGGTTCTGGAGATCAGGTGCTACCATTTTTACTTTTTTTTTTTTTTCATCCTCTAAAGCGGCAGGAAAAGTCTTCAGGGAACAAAAGCCACATTGAGCAACGAGAAGCAGCTTACACTGAGCCAGAACCCCTGGCAAGGGGTGCTGCAACTCTGCCCAGGCAAAGACACCTGAGAATCAGTGCAACAAGCCTCTCGCCCAGAAGATCAGCAGGAACATTAGGCAAATACCAAGTTTACGGATCATTCAGAACTGAAAAACTCCTGTGCTGGGGAAAATAGTATATAGAAATTGAGGGTTTTTTTCTCATGAGTCTTTAGTCTTTCAGTTTAAAATTTTCTTTTTCTTTTTCCTTTTTTTTCCTATTCAACTTGTTTCTTATTTTATCAACTCTTTGTTTTTAAGTCTTTTTTTTAATTTTCATTTTTACATTTACATTTTATAGATATATTCTTCATTTTTGGCTTCCTTTCACTGCTTTTATATATATATATAAAAGTTTTTCTTTCTTTATAATTTTGGGATTTAGTATCTTCTAACAAACAGACCAAAATATACCCAGGACCAAGTGGATCACCCTGTTTTGTCCACCTGTGAGATTATATTCTCTCTTTTTACCTTTTTTTTTCTTTTCTTTTCTTTTTTGGTTTCTTACCTCTTCAGATTTGTCTAGGGTGTATTTTGCTGGGGTCATGGTTGATATTTTTGACTTTGTTCTCTTTGTCATTTATTCCTGTCTGGACAAAATGACTAGAAGAAGTTCACAGCAAAAGAAAGAACCCGAGGTAATACTCTCTGCCATAGAGCTAATTGATACGGATATAATGAAATGTCAGAAATTGAATTCAGAATAACAATTATATAGTTACTAGCTGGGCTTGAAAAAAAGCATAGAAGACACTAGAGAATCTCTTAGTGCAGAAATAAAATCTAATCAGGCCGAAGTTAAAATTCCTTTAACTGAGATGCAGTCGAAAATGGATGCTCTAACAGCTAGCATAAATGAGGCAGAAGAGAGAGTCACTGACATAGAAGATAAAATGATAGAAGGGAAGGAAGCTGAGGAAAAGAGAGGAAAACAACTAATGGACCATGAGGGGAGGCTTCAGGAAATCAGCAATACCATAAAATGAAACAATATTAGAATTATTGAGTCCCAGAGGAAGAAGAAAGAGAGGGAGACAAGGTACATTTGAGCAAATCATAGCTGAGAATTTCCCTAATCTGGGGAAGGAAACAGGCATTCAAGTCCAGGAGACACAGAGAATCCCCCTCAAAAATCAATAAAAATAGATCAACACCCTGACATATAATAGTGAAGCTTGCCAATTTCAGAGATAAAGAGAAAATCCTGAAAGCAGCTCAAGACAAGAGCTCCCTAACCTACAAGGGTGGGAATATTAGACTGGCAGCAGACCTACCATAGAAACCTGGCAGGCCAGAAAGGGCTGGCATGATATATTCAGGGCACTAAATGAGAAAAACATGCAGCCAAGAATACTTTATCCAGCAAAGCTGTCATTCAGAATGGAAGAAGAAATAAAGAGCTTCCAGGACAAACAGAAACTAAAAGAATTTGTAATCACTAAACCAGCCCTGCAAGAAATATTAAAGGAGATCCTGTAAGCAAAGAGAGCCCAAAAGTAACATAGACCACAAAGGAACAGAGACAATATACAGAAACAGTGACTTTACAGATAATAAAATGGCACTAAATTAGTATCTTTTGATAGTTACGCTGAAGTAAATGGGCTAAATGCTCCAATCAAAAGACACAGGGTATCAGACTGGACAAAAAAGCAAGACCCATCAATATGCTGTCTATAAGAGACTCATTTTAGACCCAAAGACACCTCCAGATTGAAAGTGAGAGGAGTGGAGGACCATTTATCATGCTAATGGACATCCAAAAAAAGCTGGGGTAGCAACCTTATATCAGACAAATTAGATTTTAAACCAAAGACTGTAGTAAGGGATGAAGAGGGACACTATATCATACTTACAGGGTCTATCCAACAGGAAGATCTAACATTATAAATATTTATGCTCCTAACTTGGGAGCAGCCAATTATATAAACCAATTAATAATAAAACTAAAGAAACACATTGGGGGTGCCTGGGTGGCTCAGTCAGTTGGGCATCTGCCTTTGGCTCAGGTCATGATCCCAGGGTCCTGGGATCAAGCCCCGCATCAGGCTCCTTGCCTGGCGGGGAGCCTGCTTCTCCCTCTCCCTCTGCCTGCAGCTCCCCCTGCTTGTGCTCTCTCTGTGTGAGTGTGTGTGTTAAATAAATAAATACAACCTTAAAAAAAAAACACATTGATAATAATACAATAATAGTAGCAGACTTTAACACCCCACTCACAGCAATGGACAGATCATCTAAGCAGGAGATCAACAAGGAAACAAGGACTTTGAATGACACACTGGACCAGATGGACTTCACAGATACATACAGAGGATTCTATACTAAAGCAACAAAATACACATTCTTCTCAAGTGTACATGGAACATTCTCCAGAATAAATCACATACTGGGTCACAAATCAGGTCTCATCTGGTACCAAAACATCGGTATTATTCCCTATGTATTTTCAGACCACAATGCTTTGAAACTTGAACTCAATCACAAGAGGAAATTTGGAAGGAACTCAAATACTTCGAGGTTAAAGAGCATCCTACTAAAGAATGAATGGGTCAACCAGGAAATTAGAGAAGAACTTAAAAAATTCATGGAAACAAATGAAAATGAAAACACAACTGTTCAAAACCTTTGGGATGAAGCAAAGGCATTCCTAAGAGGGAAGTACATAGCAATACAAGCCTTTCTCAAAAAATTAGAAAAGTCTTAAATACACAAGCTAATCTACACCTAAAGAAGCTGGAGAAAGAATAGCAAATAAAGCCTAAACCTGGAAGAAGAAAAGAAATAATAAAGATTAGAGCAGAAATCAATGGAATAGAAACCAAAAGAAGAGTAGAACAGATCAATGAAACTAAAAGCTGGCTCTTTGAAAGAATAAGACTGATAAACGCCTAGCCAGACTTATCAAAAAGAAAAGAGAAAGGGCCCAAATTAATAAAATCATGAACGAAAGAGGAGAGATCACAACTAACACCAAGGAAATACAAACAATTTTAAGAACATTTTATAACCAGCTATATGCCAACAAATCAGGCAATCTGGAAGAAATACATGCACTTCTAGAAACTTATAAACTACCAAAACTGAAACAGGAAGAAATAGAAAACCTGAACAGACCCATAACCAGTAAGGAAATTGAAGCAGTAATCAAACATCTCCCAACAAACAAGAGTCCAGGGCCAGGTGGATTCCGGGGGATTTCTACCAAACATTTAAAGAACTAATACCTATTCTTCTGAAACTGTTTCAAAAAAATAGAAATGGAAGGAAAACTTCCAAACTTCTTCTATGAGGCCAGCATTACCTTGGACCCAAAATCAGAAAAAGACCCCACCAAAAAGGAGAATTACAGACCAATATTCCTGATGAACATGGATGCCAAAATTCTCACCAAGATACTAGCCAATAGGATCCAACAGTACATTAAAAAGATTATTCACCACGACCAAATGGGATTTATTCCTGGGCTGCAAGGGTGGTTCAACATTCGCAAATCAATCAATGTGACACAACACATTAATAAAGGAAGGACAAG